GTTTTCACATATTAGTTTTGCTGTGATGTCCTGGAGTCTGTAGCACCAAGTACAACACACTAATCTACTCAGAACAAAAACAGTTTGTTTCTAAGATTTCAGAACTGAAGGTTCAGACATACATCTTTACATCAACAATGATGTCCAGGTTGCACATTTTCCTCCTTTTGATTAATTTTGTTTAATATGGTTCAAGGCTGAGAGGCTAGAACCAGACTAGAACTGGCCATATTGACTAGATATGTTGAATTTCACAAACTTCCTTCTACCTATTTGGTCCTCTCACCAGCAAATTGACATACATTTCATTACGAAACACAAAAAAATCAAAAGAAAAAATAACATTATATAACAATAATGAGGAAAAGCAGGAGCTGTTTGGGTGATTTCCTTCCTTCTCAGGTAGCAGAACAGCACTCAAACTTGGCATAGCCCCTTCTGGTGTCAATGTGCTATTATCCCTTCTTCCCATTCCACTTCCAGAAGCAGCACTTGAAATATTTTAACTACATACAAAATAGTTGTTGCAATTTTTCACACACGTATTATCTGCCTTTCTTCCATCCCCTAACAAGTTGAGAGCAAAGTTAAATACAGTAGCTCTAATCTCTTAAGCAACAGTACCTGAATGTTTGAAAGGTAAAGATGAGTAGGAATGAGCAGATAAATATATAACGCATTTCCCCATCCTAGAGTTTGTAACCCAGTATGGTGAAAAAGGTGCCCACGACTAAAAGTAGACTGAGAAGTTGTGGTAAAACACCACACTTCTAACCACCATGCAGATTGTTTGCATTAGTGGAGTATTTCCCACAACTGTATCTTGCCAAATTAAATGCAGATTTCAGAGCACTGGGAAAGGTATTTCATTTTGGTTTCACTATTGTGTTCACATTTGCTGCTCCTGAAACTGAAACATTTTTATTTTAAACACACTGGAAAAACACATCTGCTTTACATACCGAGGTCAAAATCCTTATTGCACCATTAAACTTGGATGTGTTTATGAACTGAAGATGACCACTGGATATGGGATCAAAAAAATCTGAGAGCTCCAGTTCCTCCTAAAAAGAATCAAATATTGTACATGATTTGTCCAAGACTTTAAGCAGACGTCCACACCTTTTTGCATGTGAGTAACTTGCCAAGACAAAATTTATGTACTTATATACACAGAATTAATTTGATGGGGATTGTTTGTAAGCTTCCTTATAAAAAACAGGTGGAAATATTTTTTTCATTAACGTAATCACACTCTTCAATATGCATGCATTTGCTTTGAAGTTTCCAACTAACTTCTAAGAGCAGGATATTTACCAAACTACATGTTCACGAAGAAAATTGAAAACGTAGCTGAAATACAACTTCAGACCAGAGCGGTATTTTCACTGTAGTTTCTCTTAGCAGACTTAAAAAAAAAAAAAAAAATCAATCTAAAATTAACATTTTTGCAAGGAATATAACAGTTTCAAGTATTCCTGGTGGTATCCTTTCTAGATTAAACTCCTAGAAGTGGTGTTTTGTGGTGGTTTACCTCCTAAGAGGCAGACTGTTTATGAGTTTCTGTGCAATTTCTTTCACCAAAGATCTGCAGCTCTTTCAAAGTGATGAAAGTAAACCTCATTTAGTCATTTCCTTACTTAACTTTGCATAGTATTTTTCTCAACAATGCTTATGTTTGATAGCATCCCTTAGCTACCCAGCAGAATCCTTCAGTTACCTGAAAACACCAGAAAAATCTGTATTTAGATTTACAGACAAGACAGGCTTCCAAGATCTTGATGATCTTGATGAGGGGACCTGGGAATTGGATTGTTCCCATCTTGTTTAAAGATCAAAGGCAGGGCCCTTGCAGTACCAAACACTACTACAATGTAGCCTCGACCTTTCCCCAACTCACCTTAAATTCCAGCAGTCTGAGAAAGCAGAATCAGGGTTACAGTCCTTTCCAAAGCAGATTTGACACGATAGGTGAGAAAAATTACTTCCAACATCCCTGTTTCAATTCGTCACCACAAGCCTTCAGAAGGCATCTACGTGTTGCTTTCTTCCTTTATTAGCAAGGACAACTGCCTTCAGAGAAAGATTACCAAACCGATGGGGACTTGCTCCTCCTCTAGAGAACTACCCTCTTATGTCTTGAATTCCTATCAGTCTTCAGTAAGTTTTAAAAGCAAGTACTAAGGCAGTTGTTAGTTGGTATCAACTCCCAATCACTAATCACAGCACAAGTAGAGCAAAGCTTTTTCTGCTGGAGCATTCCCAGTCGAGCTGCATATGGACAAATAAGGACAGCCACAGACAGAAGCAGGAAGCGCGCAGGTTTTATATCTGTGCACTCCTGCAAAGGAGAGCTTTGTGGAGGTGTTTAGAGGAAGAAAATAAGGTATTTGGGGGAACTTCACCCTTCATGCATAAAGAGCAAAGCACAGCAGCAGTGATTAAAAGAATAACAGCATCAGCACGAGAAGTGAGGGACAACCTGAAGCAGTGAGCTGAACGCAGGAGAGGTGCAGTCATGCTAGTGCAGAAGTTGCCTGTACGTGACTGACAGCAAAGCAGCCGTGAGGGGAATATGAAGTGGTACAAGCCAAGCACGGCTAAGTCAGACCTGTACAGCAACAGTCCAAGTGAATAAAAGGAGGACAGATCAGACTGTCAAGCTGAGCCAAGTGTAAAAAAATAATAATCCAAAGATGCACGAGAGCCCAGGCAGAGTTTCAATTACATGAGCTAGCTGCATACTTACACAGGTAATATTGCAACTGCTCAGTGACCTGGTTACTTTTACGTGATTTTGTCAAATTGCCTTCATCTCTGGGAGCATCCCATGCAGCTGCCCACCTGCACATTGGGAGCTACCTCTCTCCAACTTAGCTTCCAATTTAGAGCTAAAAATAGCTGTAAAGACCTAAAAGCAACATGTCTGCAGGCAACAAGCCTCAAATCTAAAATTTGCTGTTTACACCAACAGAACCTGACTTAGTCGATGGAGTAAAAAGGTGCTTAGCTCTTTTTTTTTTTTTTTTTTTTTTTGCCAGAACCTCATACCTAACGTCAGGAAGCAGCGAAGTTGTCTTTTTTCCTTCATCTTTTATTTGAAATACTTCACTAGTACACTTACGCATTCATTCATGCAAGAAATTCTTTTTAGAATCAAAGCAAGCAAAAACTAGGAATATTTTAACTCAGTTCCTCATCCCTTACACCACATTAGCCCCAAATGACCCAGTATCTAACCAGTTTCACAGCTTATGGCTATTTTTGCAATAGGACAAAGTGAAAGAGCTACATTCCTATTTAGGTAGAAAATATCCATTAATATTCAATAGTATCAGAAAGTCTTCCAGAAGAAAAAAACGGAGTGCCTTCTAAAGCTTGGTTCTTAGCCTGCGGTGTGCTCAAAGAATTGACATCTATTTCAAATGTACATTTTTTTCCTTCTCTCTTAAAAAAACAAAACAAAATAAAAAAAAACTCCCAAACCCACATAGCAGCATCAGTTCACATAAGCAGCATGAAAAGCACAGATGGTTTGGCCAAGTCCTGCAAAGGTTTGCGTGCAAGCTTAAAAAAAAGCATATGAAGATTCATTCTATTAAGAGGAGACTTAGTACTTAACCTTTCATTTGCATCCATTTCTTTATTCCTTATTCAATTTAATATGTTAACGACAATCAGTTAAATCCTTTATTTTGCTCGAGATCAGAGAGCAGATCTGAGAAGTGACACAGACTCTGTGGTCTGTGGTACAGGAGCATTCACAAAAACGAAGGGAAGAATCAAGCTGAATGTGACATGTCAGGAAGACCTGAGGTGGAAGTGACACATCCCACTCTCAGCACTCTACAGAAGTATGTTAGTTACCAGATGGCAATAAAACTATGAAAACATAATTTTAAACCAAATGTTAAAATTGACAGGTTACAGCATATAGTAAAATACAGGAACAAAATTTTATCAAACATCTCAGACTTCTCATGCTAAGAATACCAAGTGAAAATGAGTTTTTTTTGTGTTGTTTTTTTTTCCCTCCTCCAGGCTGCTGAAATCTCAACAGTTTTTTGATTACACTGGAAACATGATTAGAATTAGAAATCCAGTGTATGCATGAATTAAAAGCAGTGCTACTTAAAAAGAACAAATAGTAGTCTTGATTTACATTTCAGTGAGCTTACAAGCTATGGTCCTTCTCTTTGAAAAACCTCTGTGCATGCTTCACTTCTATACAATAAATACTTATAGAAGTATAAACCCTTTTATTTCAGGGAGACTATCCACGCTGATGGAAAAAAACTACACATGTAAGTGTTCACAGGACTGGAGCCCATGGAGTACAGGAACCCGTGCTACAGCAGAACAAGGTTAAAATTGCAGCTCATCACAAGATCAGAAGCAGATCCAACAACCGTGTGTCATGAACTTACAGACAAAAACCTGCAGGTTGTTCCCATCACACCCATTCCACAATAACACTAAGTATTTGAACGCATTATGATTGTGCAATGTCAGTAACAGAGTATTTTATTTTGTTCTTTTTTTTTCTTCCAGCTAAACAACGAAGTAAAATAAATAAAATCAGTAAAAAGTTTTAAAGTGAGGCTTATGCATTACAACTATTTCTCCCCAAAACACTACAAACCTTTCTAGGTCTAACGTCAGATCTTTAAGGAGCCTAAAGAAATGAACTGACTAAAAAGTTAAGATTAATTTGAATATTTAAACTCCAAATTTAGTCCACAAGCTGCAAGAGGACTTATTTCAGCTGAGCTTGGGATGGATTTACTGTAGGAGCTTTCCCTGTTGTTTGTACCATTGTGACTCCCACAGAGAAGCTCCCTTTGAAACTTGTGACTTCTTGTGACAAAGAACCACACTCCCTGTTGAACAAAAATCCATCACCAGGTTACATAAGGAGGGAAACTCTAAAACCCTATCATTTTATGTACAACACCTGTATTTTCTTGATAAAAATCCTTCTCAAGAAAATATAAAGCATATCACACTGTTTTAGCAATCCTTTATTGAAGATAACAAGTTGGTTATGTTCACTGTATTGTATGAAACATCACAATATCATACTGGGAAGGTACTATCAGTACAGGGTTGGACCAGAGCGGACAGTCTGAACAATAAACCATTTTGCATTCTTCATTCCCTATCTTTTAACAACCCCCAAAAAAACAGTAAAGGGACAAATACCTGTTAACATCATCATTTAGAACACTTTAACTTACAAGGCTAAAATCTAATGAATAAATAAAATATACTGTGGCAATAATCCTCTCTAGACCAAAAAAAATAAATCAGATACACAGTGAATCAAAATGATCGGGAAAGCTGGCCTTCGGCACCGGTATGACAGAGCTTTTTTTTTTTTTTTTTTTTTTTTTTTTTAATACAGACTCACCATGGGGATAAAGTTACAGAAAAATACCATGAATTCCATTTCACACAAAACCAGTTGATGACTGTCATTAGCTTAAAACTACACACAAGGGCATTACATCCTCGCTGAAACACAGTTTAAACAAATAGGAAAATGTTTACAAGGCATCCACAGCATGTAAATCATGTACAGATGGATACATTCATTGTTTCCCCTCCCCAATAGCTTTTACTTTAGATAAATACTTTACTCTTCCCCATTTTCAGCATTTACTGGACTCATTACATGCACAACTCAAAGAAGTCAGAAAAAAAAAAGTCAAGGTTATTGCAAAAATAGAATTAAACTAAGAATCTTCAAGTACCTTACATGACAGCCACTCTGTACCATGCCCATTGCTTATAAAATGAAAGGTCATTGAACCCATGAAAATATCTCTAATATTTTCTTAATTTAAAATAGATAATTTTAAGTGTATTTATAGTAATCTCAAAGTGATAATTTGAACTTTGAAAATAATGCAAACAATTAAAAATTATACCCATATTACACAAAACTTCTGTCTGTATCTTAAGCTGAAAAAAATCAAAAACTATAGAAAACCACATATAGAACAAAATAATCACAATTTACATTATAATAAAGGCAAATTTTCAGCATTTTTTTTTTTAAAAAAACCTGCAGCTGTGAGAGATGTCAAAGCAAGTCACTACTAACTATAAATTCATCAGTTTGGTTTTAAAAGATTTTCTCTAGCAAGAGTTTAAGGGTGTGTTGTACACATGCGTAAAATTCTTACTGGTTTTAGATGCCTAGAATCTTCATATATTATTGCCAAATACACTTATCTCCAAGCAAGCAGTAGGCAACATATCACAATTTGGACACCGCAGGGAAACCTAACGGTCTGGTAATACAGGTAAAACTGGAAAATTAAAAAAAATAATAATACACATCTGATAGCGTATTGCCCAATTGAAATCACTTCCAAGCCACAGAGCTGCAAAGCCTTCCAACTCAGTAAAGTGAAATAAGTAACGTCTCAAAGAATTACTTGTACTCTCTCGCGCTTGTGTGCTGTAATTTCAGTTAACCATAGTGTATCTTCAGAGTACAACTACAATCCCATGCACCTCAGGTACATACACTGATCTGCTGAGAGAATCACTCCTTCCTTCCTTTTTAGGGCCAGAGTTCATTACAGATGTATTCGGTATGCCTGAGGCTGGTAAAAATACTGTAGTACAGGCAATGCTAAGAGTGGCAATATCAGAAAACACAAAAATGAACAAATGATGGAAAATTCTAATATCTTTCTGCCCATTTCACAAAATGTTGGAAATCCACCAGAATTTTTCCCTTGTATTGAAGAAAACAGATTTAAAAGTTTTTTCCCCCTTTCAGAATCAAAAGCATTTTAGTAGATTTGTAAGGCTACCACGGATCTTCTAGATCTCCAGCACCCTACAGGAAGAGAAGAGGAGAAATATTACTACTCACCAATACAAACGGAAACATTTTGCTGCACTTTGGATTTAAGTGGCACAATTAATTAGAACACTAGCATAAAAACAACATTCGCTTTTTTTTTTTTTTTTTACACCTGCCCACTTCCACACACAAACATGCTTTGCTCTTCAACTACACAGAAGAATTCACTTTTATGAAACATGAACCCAGTAAAGCTATTTTAACGTAAAGACTTAAATATTACCTAAAATCATACTACATCATAGCTATCGATAGATACTACTACATCTATGGAATACAAAATACAATTCTACAGAGTACTAAAACTTAACTCTTAAGGTATTCCTGGTTCATCAGAAATTCCCACAGGCTCTTTTTCATTAAGGCAGTGAAATTTGTACCTATTTTGAACAACGATATTTTTATGCAAGTGTTACAATAAGGACTGAATACTGACACAACTATTCCAGAGTTAACTTGTTAGCAAATCAGTTACCACTGTTGTAAATTAGCACTGTGATCACCGAGCTACCCAAATGCATGTGCATACATGTGTCATACACCAAAAGACAAGAAAATGATTTGGTAGAAGGTAAACTTAGGTAGAATAGCCAGTTTATTCATTTACATTGCTCATGCTTAACTTGAAATTGAGAAATGTTGTTCAAACAGAGGATTAACGAGGAGTGCACCAAACTTAAAATTACTCAAATATCTGTAGAAGATACTGAACATCACGATGAGTTAATATTGGAAGCTACGAGAGAAGTTTTGATGTCAGAATAACGGCATTTCAAAGTAAGTTTATTACTTGCTTAAAAGAGTCAATATGCATACAGGTGTTATTCCACAGCATGTTCTTTATTTTCACTTAAACACAAATTCTTAAAACTTGACACTAGGTACTAATTCTAAGTACATTTTCATTGCTGGATAGATGCTATGCTACAACCTGGAAAATAAGAATACAGTCATCTAGAAAATAGGTGTTTATGAACAGTAGATACAAACTAAACTGGAAAAACAGTACACATTTCAAGAAGAAGGGACAAACTAAGATGTGGCAAGTTTTGTAATTTACTTGTAATATGAACTATACACAATTCAAGTACAAACATGCAGTTATGATGCAGAGGAAAAAATGGGAAGTATTCATATAATTCAATTAATTTGCACAAAAGATACCATTAAGTTGTGAATTACTTTACAACAGCAAACATACCATCAAAATTGTTATTTAAGAATTTACTTACAAGGTGTTTTATTGGTTTTTTCTTTAATTTACTTTTGTATTTGCATATTAGGTTCCTATTGTTGGTGTCAGAGGATTTTGAAAAAATCTCAAAGCAAAAGTTACCTGGTTGCTATATAACATAAGATGCAACTACTGTAATATACCATAGCTCTTGAACTTCTAAGGAAAAAAGATATTTATGTAAACAATCTGTACAAATTATCAAAAGTGAAAACAAACAGACTTCTAGGATAGATGTGACAAATGTTGAGATATAAACAAAGGAAAATCGCCAAGTGAGGAGAAGCATTAAATCCGCTACGTAAAACAAAGACATTATGTCTGTTTATCGCTCGTCTCATTCATCCCTGAATCTTCACTTGAGATTTGTGTTTCAGCAAGGTGATTCCCAGATTCTGTGGGGTTTTCTGATACAGGGTCACTGGGTCCAGCATCATTATCTGAAGTAGAAGCTGCAGCTGATTCAGCAGTGCACTCTTCTCCCTGTATCTTAGCTAGCCTGTAACTAGTCAGCATCTCTTCCAGAAGGTGGCGGTAGTTTCCCCTATGATTAATTCTCATTTGCCTGAGTGCTTCCACCAATTTTCCCTGTGTTCCACTTTCCTCGGCTTCGCCAGGGTCCTTTTTTAAGATTCAAGACCCCAAAAAAATTAGTTGTTAAACTAGAGTATTTTAGAACGACATTGAAAAAAAAACACACAAACTTTTCTGACTGAGAAAACAGCAGCTTTGTTCTAATTTCAGTATAAAAACACTTACTAGCAACATACATCTTAGAACAGTATCATTCATGTTTATTTTATACAACATAAAAACACTTAATAGGTATAATTCCTTAAATTAATAATTTCTATTTATTTTGAGCCAGACAGTGTCAACGTGCTACCTTCACCCAATTAACTCCTTCTTGGTTCAAATGGTCTTTTTGATAGATGTTCTCCACAATTGTCGTTTTGAAATGAATGAAATTTGAACATTTAAGCTTCTTTAGCCAACAGGTCAATATTTTTAATTGTGAATTTTCACACAGCTGAGAGCAACGCAGTTCTGTGAAAAGCTTACCAAAAAGAACAGGCAACTCCCTACTGCTAGCAGTTCAGTTGAAGCATCACCTTGAAACAAATGCTTCACTGTGTTTTAGAAGATGATCCATCTATATTTAAGACTGATTTCTGCATGCATTTTGCTGCCATGAGAGAAAAAAACAGGTACCTATCAGCACCAGGAGCAGTGGGGTTTAAACAACATAAGATGTTTTTGGCAGATGTGTACTGCATTGAAAAATTCACAGCAACAGCCATTTAAAGTCAAATTTAGTGACCTACAGCACAGAACCTGAATAAGATGCACTGATTAAGGACTGTAGGTCTCTTCTGCAACCATGTATTTGGCTACAAGCCTTCAGTGGAAAGTCTTTTGTTGCTGTGGGGTTCTTCTGGTGCTTGTTTGTTTCCAATAGGCTTCTGTATCTATTACAGTACATTGAAATCAATACTAAATATTTTAACTTTCAAGTGCTACAGCAGTACTATTGCTTTAAAGGAATAGCATGTTTTAAATTATTAATATCTAGCAAGTTATCAAACTAGACAAATGGAACTAGATCACTTGAAGCTGGCAGATTTTGCAACAGAGGCAAAATCCAGACTGCCTTCTTCTCATGCTGACCTCATTTTATTGTTATCTAGTCCAAAAGCTCCGTAAGCTACAAGTATTGTAGTTGCTCATTTTCAAGCTAATAGAAGTATTAAGACAGTATCCTGAGTTCAGGAAGATTTTGGATGATGTAATGTTGCTGGAATAGAAGTCTTAAGACCAATTAGCAAAATGTAAGTTAAAAGGAGATGATTTTATCACAAAGATGAGCATTACTGTATATAATGAGATCCCTCTAAGCTCACTCTGTTGCTTAAGTAGAGATGTATTGCCACTGTGGTTTCCTGGTCTTAGTTTGAGATGTGACTGCCATGTACTAGCATTTTCACATTCAGATAGATCTTTAAGAGTCCACTGATAAAAAGCAAGTTAAAAATATAATGTGTTAAGTGGGACTGTTTTAATGCCTTAGAAGCACAAATTCAGCAAAAATTCAGAGCATCTAAATTTGACTAGATACAATTCCTGTCCCATCAATTTTACTCTGATGTTTTGACATTAGCAAACATAGGCCCACTCCACAATATTCATATCTTTAAAGCCTTTTTGGCAGACTGAGGTGAATACTTTTGCTCCTATGCAACTCTAAAGAGTACATGCAAGAAGCAATACACTAGCATTGCGGAGACTCCTCAACAACTCAAATGCTATTATGAACCAAAGTAACAGTGCTGTTAGTGTTTGATATTTGAGCCTGCATCCTGCTTTTATCACGTTTGATGCTGGTCCATTTCATGCTTCCCTTGTCTCCTTCTGTGTTAGCAGACAAGAAACTCTACATGTAATAGACAGTAGAAACTGCTTTTATATACATATGTGTATATATCTACACATATATTGTATATGTATACATAAGTACACACACACACACAAGCATTACTAGTGTATTTTCTCTATACACACTGTACAAGTTTGCATTTGTCCTTCTTCATGTTCTAATTCATCTCAGCGCTAACCATAAAAACAAGAAGCTGTATTTAACATGAGCATTCACAATTCTTACACAACTTCTCCTCTGTTAGATAACGTGTACATAAAGAGCCACCATGTGTTAGAGGATACCAGATTTACAGTGTTTAAGGCTGCAAGAATTTTGTCCATTTAAATTTTTTTAAAAGTCATCTGCCACAGCCCTTAGTGACACATGATCTGATTTAGCAAATGCCAGAATACAGTATTAGTTAAAGCAGGAGAGAAACATAGCCTGTCTCAAACAAGATACTCAAACACAAAGGTGGCTTTAAACAAATGCCACTGAAACTTGTAGCATAGTCACTGTAACTTTAACACTGTTCCTCATTTTTAAGGTTACATATACATCCAAGAGGCCTAACGGAACTAGTCTTAGGAGCACAAAAAGCACCAGAAACAGAGTCCTTAGAAAAAATGTAATACTTTTAACAAAAGTGTACTTCACACTTAAACTGGACTGCCTACTGGGTCAGGTATCACTCTAACATTTCAGCAGTAACAATTATTTAGCTACTAAGTTCTTTTAAATTCCATTTGAAGATCTGAAAGCAGCAAGCCCCAGTATGTACCAGATTTCTGTGATTTCACACACACTTGTGAGAGAACAAGTGAGAGAACTTGTGAGAGTACAAGTTACTACAGATGTATCAGAAGCCTCTCTGCCACCAGCAAAGGTGCAGTTTCCAAGCCCAATGCAATGTTCTCTACAGCTCCAGATTTGTCCAATACTTGTACTGCAGTGAGATGTCAAAAAAAAAAAAACCCAAAACACTACAACTTTTAATGACTGCTGAAGCTACACTAGCAATCCCTCAGTACTGCTATAGTAATGTCTCTTTTACTCCCCACAGATTCTCACTCTACACAGTATCTACTTACTCAGGCCACTTGTTAAAGATTCTCAGACTATAAATGTAACAGAACGGACACGTGAACAACTGAAGTTACTCCACAAATCACAAGCTCCAATGACAAAAAAAAAAAACAAACAAAAAAACGTAAACCAGGCACAACACTAATAGATATATGTGTAGTGCCAAGAAAATACTAACCTAACCTAGAAAAGATACCATCTTGGTTTTCATTTATATACTAAGAACTTATTTGACAAGCTATTATGATGCAGTTCACAGTAACTCTCAGGAACTAGCTTACGTTGTTGAACACTAGAAAGTAAACTCTAAGAGGAAAGACATATCTTCAATTCCACAAGCTTCTTTCTTGCTGTTCAATTTTTACTCACATGCATTAATATTTTAACAACTACTTTATTTTCTTCCCCCCATGGTAAAAAAAAAAAAAATAAATACGCTTCTGCCTTTATATAAAATCACCAGATTAAGGTGACTGCCACAGGCAGATTTTCAAGTTAGTAACTGCAGTATTATGCCTTCCACCCACACTGTAACAGACACATGTATGCTGTTAAATACACATGGGGAAAGATTCTCAAGTTCACGTCAGTGCACCTTCATGCTCTGCAGACTCAGAATCTGTCTCCACTGTGTGATTTTCAGTATGAAGATGCACTCTTGCTTCATACTAGTTTAGAACAGAAGCATTATAACTTCGATTACAGTCTCACTGGAAATGTCATCACTGGGATGTACAGTATGTTTCCTTCCTACCTTCGCTTCCTGTTTAAATGCGAGATGTGTAGCAATGTTATCACAATGTGTAGACATTGCATAACTGAACAGCTTCCTTCCCTTTCTGCCCCTCCTGTGCACTTAAACATCTAGTTGAAAAGACTGTGAGATCACTATATATATACCTAGAACCAAGGACTGAAATAAGACAAGCAGGGCAGTCATGCTTTGGTCACTTCAGATGAAGCCCACAAGATTCATCCTGCTCTCATGAACAAAAAAAATAAACAATTCCTGCTCACTGGGAAAGCACAAACAGGAATTGCATCCTTCACCCAGTGGCAGCAGCCTCCTCTCAAACTGCTCTAGCTCAGAATCACTTAGGATAGGAAGAAAAAAAGGTACTGACTGGAAAGCAGTAGCTATAATTTGATCCAGTGTATCTAAAACACATCATTCAAATCACTGTTGAGATTTGCACTAAACAGCAACAGATGATACAGTTTACAAAATAAATCGGAGTGTACTCACATTTCTTACTGAAGAAACCAAACTAAAAAGACTCCAAACAAATACACAGTGATTCTAACGGTAATAAAGTCCAAAGCTATATTGCTTTCTGAGTATTCACTTTGCATTTAATGCCCTTACCCTATTTTATTATTAAATTATAACAGATGATGTAGTAAATTTTTCCTGGAAGGAGCCAACATACGAAAAGGATGCCATTCTCTGTATTAGGGCTTTAGGCAAAATTGCATAGCTATTGAGAACTAAATCTGGACTTTGAAAGCATGCATCACAAGTGACATTTCCAGAAAGTTATCATTAGACACAAAAAAAAATACAAAACATGCTATAATCTTCAACTAAACCTTCCCCCAAGAAGGAACAAGGTTATGGCTAAATATTAAGAGCAAGAGCAGTTTCCTGAAGTACTAAAGAAGCTGAAAACAAGTAAATTTTGCAGCTATCTTAAGATAGCAGGCTGAACAGGATAACCACTAACTTGTTTTGGGAGTACAGGTGCACAGTTTAGTGCATGTTAAACGAAAAAATAAAGTTCTATCACATTGGAAAAACAAAAAAGGAGCAAATCCTACATAATAAAGTAAATTAGAGATTTCTTCTCTATTCGTACTTAGCATCCCCTTGCATCCGCAAAAGCTTTCTGAGTTAAGAGGGAAGCCAAAAATAGGTAACTGAAAGGAAACACACTGGGAAAAAAACACAAGATAACTGTGGCAAGACTGGGTGCTCTAAGATAGTGAATATGCCATTAATCGTTTCAAAATATTTAAAAATAGTCATTATAGTCAGTGGTGTGCTGGGGGGATTATGTGACTGAGAACCTCATGGTCATCTCAGGAAAAAAAATAAAAATCTGATGATGAAGGATTTACTAGAGGATGAAGAGTATCTTTGCAGATTAGTTCAGCGTGTATCAACAGTAATGTTATTCAATCCTTTACAATATACTATTGTAGTTACTCAATCAGTTTTCCAAACTATTTTTTTTCTCCATGAAGTTTAGCTACTACTGATATGAATACCAATTACTCTTTATACCACTATTAAGAATAACCCAGAATCAGGTGTGAAGTTACAGTAAACCACATTGAAACATAAATATTTAAAACAACTTACTAGGAACAGGGCAGATGAATAAAGTCTTTTTAGAAATGGGAACAGAAGTGAACTGAAAGCAATTTACACTGTCCTCAGACCACTGCACATGGGATATTTAAAGATAATATACACTTTAAAATATGAGTCTCGGTATCTTTTATACTCAGTGTTCCAAGGTCTTCTACACTTACAGAAAAAAGACAGTAATAAGTACTTGCCCTCTCTTTTACTAGATTTCTGGAATATCTAGTAAGGAATATGAAAACCATGATTTTTGATTAAAGTAAACTATCATTAAAAAATTATGTATGTTGTTGCTTTACAGATTTGACTGAAAAAGCAGTAGCCAAAAGTTTAAAAAGTCTTTTAGAACTGGGTGCCAGAGTTAGATTTCTGTCTTTGAGCTTGAAGTTCTTCCATATCAGATCCATCCAAAACAAGGTCAACATACACTGTGTGCTCCAATGCATACTTTGTGTTTGTAATACTTTATTGGCAGTGATGTACAATTTTGCTCATGTGTATGACACTACCTGGATGTTCTCATTAACAAAGATGTGTAGCAATCAAAATGGAAACTTACCCCCTCGTTCTCTCTGTGTGGATTCAGTCTACTGTACACAGCTTCAATAATATTACGCCTAAAAAGAGAAGTTGCAAAAAAAATATGAGCATAACAATAAGGGATTTCAAAAACTTTGAGAACTTAAAGAGGTTTGAGCGCAATAATAAATGATTTCAGAACATTTATATGCTTGGTCTTCAACCTGTCTCTTAAGATGAAGCCCACTTCAAACATTCAAACATGTGTCTTCAAACATTTTCAATACTATGTTTAGGGATTTAACTCTAAGTCAGAATTTGTGAAGAGCTAGTAAGGCAAAGCATTCTCTTATCTTACCCTCCCCATGTTTTTTCCCTTTTCACCTTGGGAAGTTCCAGCTGCACAGTCAGATTTTGCCAAGAGTAATATTTAAAATTGTATTTTGCTTATTGCTACAAAACTCCTGAAGTTAGTTTTTTTTTTTTTTTTCTCCTAAGACTTATCCATGGGCTACTACTTGCCTAAGAATTTCTGAAGTGTCGTGTCCAGTGCCTACAACTTCTGAGGTTTGCCATTTAGTGTCTGTTCACACTGCAGATACTACAACTTCAACACCATATGGTGCTTCCATAAAAAAAATCCAGCTAAGGCCTTCACAGGCAGGCAAGATGAGCACAGAAAGCCAAAAACAGTAGTAGTAATGGGGGAAGCATTTTATATACTATCTTGTTTTCATATTCTTCCCTAGGCATCTACTTTCAGCTATCCTGGGGACAGTACTCAGAATTAAAATGATCCTTGGTTTGATCCAGTATGACGAGCTCTTATGTTCATATCATGAAAGCCAAAACAGAAGAGATACATTTCTGAATGGAATGTGGCAAGTATGTGGATTTCTGAGGCAAAGAAACAGACTGGCTTATAGCTTGTGTCCAGCATCACAATAGATTTTTCAGCATTTAAAGCAGTACCAACTGAAATGGAGTTTGGGCTGCCTCCAGATGAGCACCAGTAAAGCAGCCTCATTAGATGAAGTGTCCCAAGTAAAGCATTGTTTTTTTTTTTTCTTTTTGACTTAGGTGCATTTGGATGAAACTCCTTCTCTGCAAGACATGATCTATAACTTACCATCAGTAAGGGAATCTCCAAACTTAAATAGGCATGACTACCAAAATGCCCTCAAAATAGAAGATGGAACATACGTTAGGCAAAGTCAATCAGATCCTACAAGCGCAAGAAGGATTTGACAAGATCTCAAAGATACCTCAAATGTACATCTAGCTGAATAGGGGTTGGAGTATTTCTCATAACAGAACTAGACCTGAAGAAAACCTTGACTGCTGAAGAATCTAGGCATTACTCCTATGAACACTTAGATCCAAAGAGAAGTTGGTTCCAAAGTGAAGATGCAGTTTCTGACTATCTACCCTACATTTTATAGCTCTTACAGCTTCTAAAGTGATACTATTTTTTATAACAGAAAGTCTTATTTTCTTTTCTACAAACAAGCAATGTCTGTATCCAGTCACCTTTGATATGAAATAACTGAAACCCTTGTTGCTCTGGACAAGCTGAGTAACTTAGTGATGTTCACGACTTGAAAGGCAATTAAAATATCCATAGCGCAGCCTCTGTTGGGAGCGAGCCACACAAAGAATGAGCCACTTCTGGCTTCTACAGAAATGAGGTGTTTGAGGGAAGCATACAATGCCCCCAAAAAGTGGAGCATGGACACTAGGTGGTAGAGGGAGCACAACATCAAAAATTCTCCTAACTAATACTTTGATATTCTAGTTACATTATTGATATTCTTAACAAACTGAAGTAATAAATAGCTAAGAGTAAATACATATTGTGTATATTTGTGTCTATGTATATTTTTAACAGCTCCATGGAAATAAACTAGTGCATTACGTACCAGAATACAATTTTTCCTTTTACCCTTCAGGAATGGGATCAGTAACACAAATGTTTATGTAGAGCAAAACGTAAACTAGCCTCAGATATAGCAAACAACTTCTATTGACTTGAGTATAGTTGTTACACTGAGAAAGATTTAGAACATTTTATTAAAAGCATTTGTTGCAATAAACTAAGTAGTTAAAGAAATTCTAGTAGTGTACTCACTTGCCAGCTAAACCACCTCCTGGTGGTAAATTAGGGATATTCTCCGCAGATAAAATACGAATAACATGCGCAAGATCAGGCATTCCTTCTTCACCTGATTTTTCCATAATTTCTATTGTAAAAACAGAAGTATTTAGATTACTGAACTTACATGACCCATTTCTTAAAACAGTAAGGTACAAGACACCATCACTTAAACAGACATTATAAAAAAAAAGTTGCATGTAAACGGGACTTCTAAAAAACGTTTTAAGTAAGCTATATTTGCACAGTGCACAGAGCTAATCAAATCCCTATTCTGCCTTTGCATTATGCTTCTAGCCATTCTCTCTCTGAGAAACTCTTAAATAGACTGAACTACTGGTTGAAACATCCTGGGGACAGCAACCTGTTCTCTTCCACAAAGGTGACAGCTAGGAGCCTGCTTCAATTACCTTCCCATTGCATTGCAACACACACTCAGAAGTTATTTGCCATAAAGCCAACACTTCCCAGGAATTCAGTCATACTTCATTGTGAATAACACCCTGTACTCGCAAAGTCCTGAATCTCTGGTGCGTAAGCACCAAGACCATCAAGCAAAAAGAAGATGACAAATAAAATGGCCCAGTGGCCAAAACAGAATACAGGAGTGATGCAACACGCAACTGATGATGTGGTGTTCCATTTTCAAAGCAGACATATCTCACTAGTCCAGTGCTAGGACGTTTTTCTGCCTTGGGAAAGAAATACCTAAAGTATGAAGTCAGTCTTCACATGTTCTTACTCATCAAAGCTGCTGTAAGACTAACTTGCAATAGATGCATACGTATATTCACATATGCATAATGCTACAACCTTCCAGACATCAGCCTCAAGTCATTTAATTACAGTCATGGCAGAAAAAGATTCACTTAAGTTATCTAAAGTTGTAATGGTATGAATGTATCACATACTTTAAAGTCAAAAAAGTTAAAATTCTCCTGAAAATCAACTAAATTAAGGAATATAGTGCCATTTCATGTGGAGACTGACTCAAATATTATGCAAAAAAAGCTTCAGAATTCTTCCTTCCCAACTCCCCTGTTTGTACCTTAAACAATACCTCATCTAGATCAGTCTGTATCATGGCTACTATCCTAAATTAAAATAAATAAATAAATAAATCACATTCACATTAAGTTTCTTACAATCAATTATTTTCCACTTTGGATGCCTGGTTTGGAACCTACAATTAAAGTGAGTTGAAGCTGCAACTTCAGTTTCTGAAATTAGTAAAAGAGCACATCACCTACTTTAAACACTGCACCCCAGGTTTCCCGGTACTTAAATCTCTCTTGATGTCTGTTATATACCCATAAAACAAGGGATATGCAGACTTCACTAAGGACTACTGAAAACAAAAATGTGTTTAAGGCACTTGCTCACTCTGTATCAAGGAGATCTGTAGCAATGCCCCCAAAAGGCAATTCTACTTTCACAAGTTATACTACCCAGTAAGAAATAAGGCATTATGCTTCTAAACTGCAATTTTAAGTCAGCACCACCAAAATCTTTGCAATGAATGAGTGGGGTATACTACTAAAAGTGGTTAAACATTCTTCTAAGAAACTTTATAGTATATATATATAACTTTCATACACCTATTAAGGATGAATCATGGCTAGCAAAGGAAATGACAGCTAAGTCTGTGCGCTTGTGTCATCTTCAGGCTTTGATCACTTCTTCCATGCACATTCACACACACAAACCACAAGTCCTCTCATAGATCTTGTCCTTTTGTGCAGTTCTGCCTAGCTAGACGTAGATGCTATCACTATAATATAAATGGTGCTGAGTCACGTCAGATCGGAAACATGTCTCGTATATACTGCCTTTTATACCAACAGCATGTCTGGTTCTGTACAGACCGAAATTAACAAATATCAAAAATCACTAAGAACTAAGGCTACAGAAGTAAGCAATTGATAAATTTTAACCGAAGCATGAGATTTTTATATCTTCTTAAAAGCAAACTAAAGCAGTCAGAACTCGGGATTGTCGTGTGTTTCTTGGTACTGCAATCTTCTGCTTTATGCTGTATAACCCTTGGGAGCTCTGAACCAAGAGCACCTTCTCCCCATTTTCAGAGGGTGCTCATCAGGAATTCTGGTGAAATTGGCCGTCTCCTTTTTCTCTTGGTAATTAGGATGAGTAATTTTACCAAAACATTTTCCCACCCCTTTCAAACAAAACAAACAACACACAACAAAAAAACAACAGCAAACCACAACTGAATCAGCTCCTTAGTAAAAAAAATATAAAAAAAAATCCAAGAACAAAGCAAATGACTTCTTCTCACTACACATTAGTTAACAGATACATACAGCCGATTTGTTTGACAAAGATCACTAGAAAAAACAACCTAATGTTTTCAAAGCCTGATATACACATTTACAAGGTTTTCACTTTCTCAAGGATATTTAAAAAAATAATTGCAGGGTTATTTTTAACTGAACATGCAAACCATGACTGCAGAAACTTTTCTACCACTATTGCTAATATAATTTAGACACCTGAAGAATCACTTCCTGATGTTATCATACATGCAAATCCATGGAAATCCACTACAAAACAAGTCTACTACTTAATCCTAAAATAATTTTAACCAAAAGTTCTTTTGACTCAGAGATAAGCATTTTGAAAACCCCAACCAAAATTTATTCCAGTTTTATATCAATGCAGATGCTTCCTTAAGTTTAAGTCCCCTACCAGACAGCATTACAACTTCTTACACTACAGCATCTCCTCTGATTTCTAGCTGTAAGATTAGGACATGGAAAAGAATCCACTCTTCTCTATCAGGTCCAACTCCAATGCCTCAAAACAGCTTTATATAAAGTACATATTCTACATACATAAAATGCACTATTCAACTTACTGTATTAATTAAGCATTCAACTATTAGAACTACCTAAATCTATACTGAAGTGCCCCCTATTTATGATTTGAGGTGTTGGTTGTTGTTTTTCTTATTTTTCTTTTTGAATTTCCACATCTGACACACCCAGAAGTCAGAGCACTGACTTGTATCTAGTTCTCTCTCAGTAAGCAATCGGTGGGTCTCAAAAAACAAATGACAAACCAGATGAAAACAAAAGCAGCACTTGAAAGCAACAGTAAGAAAAAAGACTGACCTAGCACAACTTTACTATCCAGCACATTTGCATTACTTTGGAAATTGACCAATTAAGTAACTCAAAACAGAGCAAGTCACGGTCATAAGTAACTTAGTCACAAGCCACCAAGCACTGCCTCATAGGTATTGCAGAAATACTCTTGAATTTACAGCTCTGGAATGGAGTTACACACAGGCCATAGACATCAAGATCCAAGCTATCAAAATGTTTTAGTATACAGCTTTGAGAAATCTAATGGCAGAACTCTCTCTTGCTCGTTTCTTTATTTTCTGTTAACTCTGTGAAGATCTGACAGAACTACTAGCTTATTGTATGAATGCACAGGATCTTGGCATTCTACTTAGGAATGCATAAAAATGATTGAAAAATAACACATGCAAGTGTTAAACTGCTTTTGAGCACGGATATTAAAACAAGCAAAAACAACAAAAGCATGCCTCAAACAATGCCTTTTTCTCCAAGCCAAACCTTAAAATGCCTAAACAGAGCAGTGAAAAACCGGTTGTCTTAGAGGTTTGATGGGATAGTCCCAGTCAGCTTTAAACCCAAGGTTCACAAGAGAACAGAAACACCCCATGTAGAACAGTGTGCATTCATGAAAAACAATTACCATTGATCAAACTCAAAAATGACATTCCTACCTTGCATTTTTTTCCCTACTACTCATACTTTGGACCCTTCTTTCTTACACTCCCCCCCCCCCCTTTTTTTTTTTTTTAAATGAAAGGCATTTCTTCTTTTTACTTTTGAGAATCCGACCCCTTTCTAAATGATTCTCTCCAGTTGTTTGAAACGTTTTGTTCAAGTTTCTCTGTATCTGAAATAGTACTCCAGGCACAAATGTAATGTAGAAATTGCAGTCCAGTAACTTCCTTTCTATTACGATACTGTGTCAAGATGTCAATTTCAAAGAATTTATGAAGTATGAAAAAAATTGTTGGAGAGAAGACAGTGGCAACTACTTGAAATTATTCAGAGTTGTTTCCTTTCTTTTCTGTGGTTCCTGATAGAATTTCCTCAAATATGCTAACACTCATTCCTTGCTAAATACTTGACATTTAAAGGTCTTGCGCTCTGGCCAATTCACTGAACACAGAATGACACAGGGAACTCATGTAGGAAAAATCAAGAATAGCTGAAGCAACAGAAACTCAGTCTTTGAAGCAACTTGTATCTGTTGAGATCTTCAGCTTATCAATCATTTCAAGTTACGCTTGGGATGGCTCTGCATCAGTGCAGGTTACAAACTCTCCACTTCTTTTTGCTGTGTGTAATGTGTTAAATATGATGAAATAGGTTAAATATTTTTGCTCAGAAGTTATCTTGATAGAACAGTAAGTCAGTTATGCTACAACACTAGCATTGTTACTAGTAAATAGTGCTTCCTACATCATTTTCAGTTCATTTCAATCCAGTCAATCTGACTATAAAGTATTTGACAGCTTTTCTATTAATGCTTTTAACATTCACAAAAGCAATAAAGTAACACTGTAGTTCTATTTATCTTCCACCTGTTTGCAAATTGAGAGAGAAGCCCCCGAGAAGCTAGGCATACTAATTCCTAGCCACCATGTGTACACCTACCTAACTGCTGACAGTGAAGGTAACTGCTCCTGGCTCTCTCCCAGAGCCTATTAACAGCTCATGTCCTCCCCTCAGACATAGGAAGATAATAGTTATTTATCTTAACTAGTCATCTAGGAAGCCCAGGATGCAAGCCAAGTTCTGCGAAATGTGCTGAGAGCTCGCATGTGAAGTGACCATTAGCTCTCCCTAACCTCAGCAGAAAGGCCAAGTATGCAAGCCATGTCAGTTTAGATCCCATTTAAACAAGATGGGCAGTGGGGAAGACACCACATCGTACACACCACCAGCACATGCAGAGGTAACTGTGTCATGGTCTGAAGGCCTTCGCAGAGGGTGTTTTTTTTAAAAAGATTAAGTCGATGTAACTCACGTAACAGACCTGTCTAGATTACTGAGACACAAACAGGGAAAAAAAAAATAAATCTAAGTACCTCATTCAGTTACATAAGACTAATAAAAACACATCTAAACAAAGAAAACGAGTGCAGCCATTTCACACAGATGAAAAAAATAAAGTATATCCAGAAAATGTCATTTACAGCATTAAGTTAGTATCAAAAACCCTCTAACTTAAGTGGCAAAGATGACAGTTGTCCACAGCAATTCGGTTGCAGTGGCAGGATAGACATTTAACTTATCTGTTGCATTTTATATTGAATTTGTGTTAAGAAAAGTTAAGAATGGTTTGCTGTCGTTTTTTTTTTTCCTTTTTGTTTGTTCTAATACATACACTCAGAAGTTTCCTGATCTCCTCAAATCTACAGTGCAGGCTTACTTCCCATTCATACTTAGTCCTACTTACTTGGATACGAACTACTTTCTAATAAAAGCAGGTCCAATCCTTTAACATCCATTACAGCACACTGAAAAGCCAGTGGAACTCTTAGATCTTCACATAAAAGCAACAGGAAAAACAGAAGCGGAATCCACCTCACATGTGACAGTGCTGAATTCTTATATTAGTAATTCTCAAATAGTTTTAAGGAAAATTAGTATTTTCCTCTATAGTTAAAAGATACCATCAGGATCCACATTGAGAAAATTTAACAAAGAATGCTCAAGCTCAGGTAGTTGGCGTCCAGAGCTGTGGTTTTTGTCATAGAGACCTTGCTGCAGTCTCAAGACTGCAGGTGGGAACCAGCAGGAAGTCATCTAACTCCCAGACACCTTGGGATTTAAATTTACAATTACTTCCACAGAAAACTACTGCACAGTCCTGTAGGTGCCAATGTTGCATTCTTCTACATGAAAAGAGTACTATCAGGAAGGAAAAAAAAAAAGTACAATGCTGAAACACTGGTCTCAGCACCTGGCACAAATACATCTAAGGTGGCTGCATGACTCATTGTCTGTCTACAAGAGGAGCCACCTCTTTATGAAGCACTGTTAAACCTGGATACAGTCATAAGAATATGATAGTCCTGCCCTGAAACAAGTCAATAAAGGGTTCAAACTACCTCAACGTTCTTTCTCAGCCTGTGTGTTCTTCCGTAACCCATCTCCTTCCCCTGAACACTGCTGCTGTGATAGATGCAGCAGATAAATCAATAAGCTGCATCATACGTAAACGCATACGAAGTATGAAATACGTTCTTCAGTGCTCTTCTGATTAGATAACAGAAGTTACAGAATGATAACAACCAGGTTTTCTAAACCTCTGAAGACTGTTTCTCTCTAATGAAGCTCTTTCACAGCAGTATCATAGCCACATATGCAACATCAAGACAAACTGTTCCAGGAACAGTTCTTTTCATGCTTGGGTTGATTCTGCAAAAGCCTATGCCAACAGATGATCAATATTACAGACAGGCTAACTTTCAATATCAACAACGAACTTCAGTCAGTTCTACCAAACTGAGCTATACTGGGATCACTAAATTAATCAACAAGAATAAAGAGCCCCAAAAGCCACTACACACAGTTTTTTTGTCCAACCTTACAGCAGCCTTAGCCAATGATAAAAAAAATAATAAATAGAAGCAATAGTTTGAAAGTCAGTTTTTCTGACATTAAGAACATGGCAGAAAAGGAATAAACATACAAGGGCTAGCCTTTCATTCTGCTCAACTGTTCCTTTAACTGTTTCTGAAAATGTATTCAATTCTTTGAAGGAATAAAAAGAACTATAAAATCAGTGAATAAATGAAATTGGTTAGTGATTAAGTCCAGTCCTCTACAAGAAACATCTAGATTTGCTTTTATTGCAACTTTTATTCATGCACACACACGCTTGGTAAGCATTCAGAACCAAAAGGATGATTTAAGGCTCTTGCATCCAGATATATTTTGATCAGTTACACTCTGTACAAGTTTTCATAAGTTATTTTTCAAACTGACACTTCAAAACAAACTCAACTTCAAAACAAAACAACTGGATTAAACAAAAGCAGTTAAAACAACCTTGATAATTAGGAGTCCCTTCAAAAAAAAATGATAAAGGTTTTTCTTTTAGTCAAGCTTCCACAAAAGAAATGGATCACGTATCACAAGCATCCCTTTGTAAGCAAAACACTAACAATAACACTATTTAATTAGCTGATGTAAGCCTCTGTAAGGTCAGTGGTTACTTCTGTTTTTACAAAACAAAATCCAAAGATCTAGGGTTTTATTGAGAAAATGCATGTGGTGTATGGTTTACAACATTTTTCCTCATCATAAAGTCATGATGGCTTGTGTTGGTTTTGGTTTTATGCTCAACAACATTAAGACAGCATTTTTAATGAAGAAAATGGATTTCTTACCTTCAACCCGTGATTCCAAGTGCTTATCCAACTCTGCATCTTTTTTCACTGCCTCATCTGAGACCTTAGGAGCATTTGAAAAACAAACTAGTACAATACTCATGTTATCACGACTCCCCTATGCGACAAAGAAAAAGAAGAGTTAGGCTTTTGAGATTTCATCTTTCCTTTTTCTATTCTTGCTACCAGTTGTATTTTTTACTTAGAGTACTGTATCCTAGACTTACCTGGGAAAAAGAAGCCTTGCAATGAAAGTCTTCGATTAATAACAACCTCTCTTTCTCAACTAAACTACTCATTTAAATTGATTTTCGCTGATTTTACATTGTTAGTCTGAGCTGAAATTATTTAATGTACTTTATGTGCCAACGGTTTAAAAATAACATCTCCATATAAAATAACCATTTAAAAAAAAAAACAGGCCAGAAATTAAACTGTCATTTAACGTTAACCTTAAGGAAATTTAAAAAAATATTCATGTTGCAAAATGAAATGCTGAATATTCTAAACTCCCAGAATAGCTAGTTTCAGCTACTAATGTATAACTTTGAAAACATTCACTATGGCTGTTCAATAGGAAGTACACGTTATACGTCATGCACCTTGAGGAAAATGGGTAAATTACAAAATAAGAATTCATTTAGCATGGCCAAACTAGCACTACAGACTATCCTGTGCTCAGCAGTATCAGCCAACGGCTTTTGCAGATAATAATTTTAATGCCAATTGTTCACTAGTAAGCTCCAATACCACTTTCCTCCTCACCTTTCAAAACTACAATCCATAGCCAAATTTTAAAATTACAATTCAAATTTAAAAACAAAGAAATCCAGCAAAAAAGCAATTTGAACTCCTGGTTTAAAATCAAGGGTGGTTTTTTTTTGGTTTTTTTTTGTTTGTTTGTTTGTTTGTTTTTGTCAAGTTATCTATTCTTGCTCTTTCTGTCAAGTTCTCTATTCTTAAGCTAAGTTTGAAATCTTTAACAAACATTATGTAAATAGCTCCTTATCCAAACTAAACCAGAAATCTGTGTGCCATTTTTCACTGCACATTGTTTCTCTGTAATTCCAACCCTCGGGTAGTTCCTATCATTTACCAAAACAACTCATTCTTCAAAGGAAATTAGGTAGCAATCCAACATCAGAATAAATTACTTCAGAATGTAGGACTTGTCCCAAAGTCCCAATGCAGGACTTCATCCAAATTCCTTTTTGTATCAAGCATATGGAGACACTTAGTATTTTACAATAGATAATACTTCACATGCTGAAGACCTTCTAATCTTGCCACAAACTGCTCAGATCCCCGATCTTACTTTAGAAAATAAGCATGAGGTTATGTCTATTGCTTTCCTGAAAGTATACTAGAGTGACAAGTCATTAATGAAGCTGATAGAGTGCTTGCTCAGAAAAGCCAGGGCATTTAAACCAATCTTAAAACGTTTGACATCTACTGCAATACAACCCTACTTCCAAAAAAGTTACTTACAATTAAACAGTAAAGGGTAAGTTCTAAGTTTTAAACCTTCCTCAAAACGGCATGTTTGGTCTATGGCTTCATCAAGGAACTTTATTTGCAATAGTATGAGTTACACTTTTGAGGGAATGCTGGAAATGACAAACGTTTGCAGACCAACCTGCAATATCTCCTAATGAATTTTAAATTTGAGGACTGTGAGCAAGCTCAGATGAAGAAGCACTACTTTTGCATCTGAGCTGCAACAATTTGCTGAGGACACCACTTCAGATGATAGACAAAACATACCCTAATGAGGAGATAGTAGTACAAGCACAGATATTATGCAAAGGAGAGCAACACCACCCAACTCAAAAGAGCAGAAAAATACAAACCTTGCACAGAACGTACTTTTTTTAAGTTATGTTTTTAAAAATCATTCACTTTAAAAGTTGGAAACAAAATTTAGAGCTGGGACCATATGCAAACATTGCACTAAACATTTATTTTTGCAACTGCCATCACCTCTCCAAGCACAAAGGATGAGGCTATACACTTTTCAGCAAAGACACGGTCAAACGGGTACAGAAGTTTGAGGGTAGGAGCAGGGAGAACAGGAAGACTAGGCCAGAAACTGCTGTTAACATTGTACCCATCAAAACAGAAGATAAATTTAGAACATCTGCTTGGAGAAAACAGTTACATACCTTATGTAAACAAGTGTCCACTACCCAATTGCACACTTTTTCCAGGTCATCTGATACTTCAAGTCTAGACTTAACAAATTCACAGAGCTCTTCGTTGCTCATTACATCCCAGATTCCATCACAAGCCAAGATGATAAACTCATCTTCTTCTGCCCTTAAAATTTCACAAACCTCTGGCTCTGGAGAAACAAGTTGTTCTGTAGGGCCTTTACCGTCAACACATTTGTAGTCATAGTCCCCCAGAGCTCGAGAAACTGCCAATGAACCATTAACGCGCTGAATCATTACACTGCCTCCTGCATTCTGGATTCGCTCTTTCTCCCTTGGGTTGCAAGGTTTGTGATCCTGTGTTGAAAAACAGACTTGTCCATTCCTATAGAGAACAGCACGTGAATCACCACAATTGATAAAGTATACATGCTCAGGTGAAATCATAACTCCCACTGCTGTTGAGCCACTTCTGTCCATCCCATTTCTGAGGTCTGAGAAATTGCGCATATACTCATCAATTTTCAAAAAGCCAGTTCTGATTCCACTCTTGACATTTTCCACTGAAGGTTCAAGAGCAGATCCAGGTTTTTCTGCCGCCCTAAAGTCTTCATTGTTAGTGATGTGTTCTAGTAAGTGTGTGGAGCAATAATTTGCAACACGAGATCCTGCGTGACCATCATAGACAGCAAAAAAGGACCAGTCCTCTAAGCCGTGAGGAATACCCACAACAGCTGTGTGAGCATCTTCCATTTCCACTCTCCATCCCTGCATACTGCTGAGGCCATAACGCAAGCCATTCCCTGCACCATGAGCATTATGCTTTTCAGTTTTTGGTTTATCCAAAAATGCACCCATGTTTATGCAATAACGAATCTGGAAAACAGAGAAGAAGAATCTTAGTTATAATTCCACCATGCTATCTAAGTTCACTCAGCAATGCCCATTTTGTTCTCCCTTCCCTTTCTTCTTTATAAAACATATTACAAAGCATGCACATGTGCAAAAAACAACTGTAAGGTGGAGGGAGGGATAAATAACAAATGACATTAATGAAATTGGAACTTACAGACCCCTGTCTGCCTTTCAGGCAGTTTGGTATCTACTTCATGTGCACTGGATTTTTTGTTTGTTTTTGTCTTTAAGACCTACTTCATGAAAATTAAAATGTGCAAGAAGGCTCTCCATATGAAGGTAGAGTACTTTACATACCTCTGCAGCCCAATTTTGTCATTCTCTGCTGGAAAAACAACATCCATATTACTCTTATTCTCCTTCCATTTTCACTAGGGCAATACTAATAATACTAATAATAATAAAAGCTAATACTTCATAAATAAGTACCAACTGACTTGCTAGCTTTGCGTGTACTGTGCCACTTCTGTAATCTTCTAAGCATGGCAAAATTGACAATAGAGAAATGTAGACCACTCACCAAAGCAAAGTATGATTACAGCACTTCCAAAGAAACAATAAGTCATTTCCCACTTTGACACAAAAGAACTTTTCACAGGATTCTCTTACTATATTACTTACTGCTTTGTAATACATTTCAATTTTCACCATCCCTAAAAGACATTCATGTGGTTTTAAGTTCATAGATGCACTGATCTTGATTTTAAAACATACCCAGTTAAAACAGTTACGAGCCCTCTAAGGGAAAAAAATATTCCACAGAAAGTTAGCTCCTCAACATTTGGAGATCAGCTTCAGAATACGTGAAAGGCATCCTCAGAGAGCAAGCTTGCAGACACAAGTAACCTACGCTGAAGCTTTAGACGACTTCCAACTTCCTCTCCTATAGGAGAATAGGTCATCCTACGCAGGCCTGAAAAAACACCTTGCACTTCACCAAGTCAGCAGGGAATATTTTCTTTAACCCAGAGACCCTGCAATACTTTTTTTTATTTCCTCCAAAAACTCAGAAAACTACTTGTCATGCTAACAATGACTGTCCCATGAAACCCTTAGCGACTGGCTGTAAAAACGATAGCAACTTTCAAACAGCAAAAATCTGAGAGCCTTGACCGATTGCGAGCAAGTCAGTCACTAGCGCTCCCACACACTAGCACTCACCAAAAACCTGTGGAGTCACGATAAACTGCTTTAAGAGTTTGTTACCATGTTAGAAAGATTAATGATTCCTTTCTTCTTTCATTCCCCTCCACTAAAAATATTTTCATCATCCATAGCTTGCTCTAACAGGAGAGATGAAAGGAAGTAGCACACTGCAAGGGGCAAAGCTTATGGCTAGGTTCCTCACCCCACCCTGCCAGGGTCATTTCAGAACTTTCAACCAGATAATGCAAACCTCACACTCTGCTCCAGTGGCCTCCATGTAGGGCTGAGGATGCCCATTACTCCGCAGACCAAGACTTTGTTTACCAGTTATACTTCTTTTGAACTGTATTTCTCACTCTTACTGTAAATTTAGACATGTCTCCAAATATTGCAGCAACTCCCTGTCTGTTTTACTCTTCAGTATAATTTACTTCCTTAATTCATGTTTAATGATCTTTAATTCAAGTGCTACTAACACTGCAGAAGGATGAACATGGTTCTGGTATTTTTTTTATTAAAAAAAAAAAAAAAAAAGAGAGAGAGAAAGCACTTGGCTAAATCAAATCAACTGAGAAGCACCAGAATTCAGATGGCTCTTATGTTCAAGTACCATGTTATATTCTAATTACAAGCCTTGGAGTTACCTCTTTTGAAGATCTTTTCAGAAATGTAGAATAAAACATCATCAATTGGATTCCGAGTTTAGACACATCTGCTAGAGGAAAAGATTTCTTTACTAATCAGCTAAAGGAAATGGAGGTTTTGCATGTACAGTGTAAATTCTAACACTGTGCAAATACCCACCTCTAGCTCGGCTCTGAGCTACTACCATGATTTTGATCACATTAGAGAACTCTATAATTGCAGACTAGTTGATTATCTCTATGTACCAATCTTCTGCTATCACAAAGTCTGGTATTAGAACACAAGTCTTGCACTTAGTAAATTGCTTTAAGCTGCTGTTAAAAAACAACACTCGCGTGACTAAAGAAATATATCCTAAGCTTTGTACGTGCTCCAAAACGAGCTTTCCATGTACAAGGTACGCATCTCCAGCTGCAGCATCTACAGTAAACTCAAGTCACAAGAACACACTACAAAGTTGCTGCCAAGTTTTTTTTACTCTATATAATCTTTATATAGTTTTTATAGTTTCTAAATATAATTAGTTATTATATATAATGTTATTTTATATAATTTATATATATATATATAAAATTTACATATAAACAGAATTTATATATAAATTCTCAAACTAGACTTCGTAAAACAAAACCAAGAGTGCCATCCCCTTGAAATGATAATTAATTGGCACATCTTATACAAAACGCAAGAATGATTTCAGACCAGCAGTGAATGTTCTCAGAAGACTTCCCATTCATGAAGCCCTTTCAAACACCTACTCTCCATCCCCAAGCTCCCCTAAGTCCCCCCACCTTCCCTGTCCATCCAATATTATGGTATTATCCAAGGAATTCCACAAACAAGAAGCCCCGTTACCTGTACTCTTTCTCTCTGCAGTCATTATCTACAGGTCTCTTACTATCTAGGATAGTAGAGAATGAAGTAAGGAATCATATGGCTGCGTAAAGAAGATCAGAACTCATCTAGCTACAAAAGCCGATGACCTGACTACTGACTGTTTCATACATATGCATTTATACTGTATAATACTAAAGTCAAAAGCACGGGTTCCACATCTTAGCTTCATCTGTTTCATAAGTAGCTTCTGAATTGAGTTCTTACTGCTCAGAATGAGTAAAAAAAAATGAAATATTGTCCTATTTGCAAATATATTTTTAATATTACATAAGATATTTAGAATATTACACATATTTAATAAAGGATGTAGAGACAGACTTACAATCAATATGTAAACAGTAAGTTTAGGTATCAGCTTATGGCTGGTCCTAAAGACAAATACCAAATACATAGAAGAAATCTTTCTATTACTGCGTATATTATGTATGCTACACAACGCAGCAGCTGGCTTGAAAATTAGCTGAAAAAGTCAAACCATTTATTGAGCATGGAAGAAAGAACCAGCCACTAAGTTCTTTAAAGCAACATACATTCTACAGATCAAGAACGGAACCCTAGGTTTCCCTTCTTGAAATAGTTTTCTCACCTCCAAAAGGAAAAAAAAAAATCACCTGCTAAGTACCAATAATGTACTAACTACTAACAGTAGCTTTTGTAAGGCCTTCAGAGGAATCTCAGCAACATGCTGCTAGAGCACTAGCTCTAGCACTCTACTGTACGCTCTTCATCTCTACTTTAAAACCAATCGTTAAGTCATTTCCAATCAAATTCAATGCTGCAGGTCTCTAAGAAACCTGACGTTCCTTTCCCAGGAAAAAAAAAAAAACACTAACCCAAGACATACTTTTCTGAAGTCCAAATGTGTATTCTTCCCTAATGTTTCCTACCTGATGTAAATTTTACATGAGGTCCTTATCTAATACACAGGTAAGGCAAACAATAGTTCAGTCCTAGGAAACCAAAGTCATCTACACTTTTGAGGTGTGGAAATAGAAAGCATAAAGCCGAAAACCACACCTTCTGACACTGAAAAATTTGTGGTCGGTCTCCATTTCCCCACAGCTACACACTGAATACATATATTTGCATTATATCAGCCCTAAAATAAACAGTCCTAAATATCAGGTCTGTGAACAAGTGTGAGTTTCTCTGCTTAAAAGAAAAACAACCACACCCTCTGATTTTCACCAAGATGTACCCATAAAATGGTAAAGAGTTCTTGCTCAGCTCCAGAACATACATGATGAGTTTATTTTCCACTCTATCACAGAGGGGGAATAGGAAGCTACTTTTAAGGAAAAGCATGCTTCTTCCCACATAGATTAAACTGGCAGAAATAACACTCGCTAGTTGCCATGAAGGCATACAAAAATGTAATTAAATAATACAGTCTATACCCATGCATTTGTAGATACCATAAAATAATTTCCAGATCACTTGAGGGTTCCAAAAAGAACTACTGCTTTGATAGCCAACAGTCCCAAAGACAATAATGGGTCTTTTCATATAAGGAGAATGGGTCAAACATCAACCTTTTGGGCTAAGGTCGTAAGAGCATATTGTAGAACATCTCTTTCCTCAGAAGGGTTCATTCCAGAGACTAGCCATTTTTAATAAGTCAGTGCTGTGGAAAAGAAATAGTGCCAGTTTCCTGTTACAATACACATGTGCTCCTTCTGTTTAAAAAAAAAAAAGTATGTTTCCACAGAAATAAATGCTGCACTAGATACTAAAAGTGCAAGTGACAAATCACAATACCTATGACAATTTCAAAGCTTAGTGGAAGTGCAGGAAGAAGCAGTTTGTCTGGTTTAACTAAAAAGACTTAAACTGGCCTTGTTGAAAAAAGCCTCTCTCTAGTGTGAAAGAGACACATGTGAGATGTGCCTGTACAAATGCACACATGCACACTGTAGATTGTTTTGCTATCTGTAAAGGTTCAGAGTATCTCTCCATTTACACGAGAAATGCAGCATGACAGAATATTCAAGTAAATATAAGACTATACTAAGTAGGTAAATAGAAGTTCATTTAAAGAGTAAAATCTTCAAAGATCTCTATTTTGATCCCAGAAAACTTGGGATCCCTTTTGACTTACTGACCTTAGAAAATACTGGCATCAAAAAAATACTACATCAATTTACATTAGGCAAATAGATACTGAAATTCTGAGCAATAGCTCTACTTGAAGTTTGGCTGGAGCAGCTACCTACCTTCAGGTACTACAGCACAGGCACGACCTGAACTGCAGTTATTGGAATTTCAGAGTGAGATCTTAATATTAAACGTTCATTTAAAAAATGAAATGTGAAGAAAGCCAGTAACTGATCGTTACTTATGCCCATGTACTATGGGGTTTGTTTGGTTTGAGTTGTTTTATTTGTTTTTAAATAACCTGTGGGCAAGGAGCAGGTTGGGAGTCAACATCAGAACTGGTCCCAGTGATAGCGCTGACCAAAGATTCACTTTGTACTGATATGAAGAAATTGAGTATGAAGATAAACCTCTAATATAGATCTTACTACCAAAAACTTTTCCTGCCACAAGTGCAATAAGCTTTTAAACCAGAAAGTTGAAAATGTTGCCAGCTAGCCCCCAACTAGCTGACAGGATACATGCCTAGGAGCAACAGCCAGAACTCCAAAATGAATTTCTGCACCTTTGTTATGGGGGAGAGGAGGCTGGAACAAAACACACAAGGAAACCCACACTGTGCTACTTTTAAACCAGCAAGATAAAAAGGAGGCAAGATTTCAGAATATGCTTCAGCTACTTTAAAAGTTGGTCTGGAGGTACTACACGATCACGGGTGGTCTTTAATGCCGTGGATTTACATCCGTTCTCAACGTCTGCAGCAATTCCTGAAAATAGAATTTGCTATGCCTCAGCTAGTCACCACTACCTTGTGCCAGCAATTTCTTCTTTCAGAACTGCTGGCTGAGATGTTTTTGCTGCTGCTCTTCAAAGTGCCTCACTGAAGAGGTGCAAAATTGGCTTTAATATTTCAGAACTTTGTGACTTTGGCTGTACTGGATTTAGAAGCCAGCAGATCCAAGACAGCAGTAACCTCCTACAGGGAAGACTGTGGGAGTGAGTAAAAAGGAGCACCAGGAGCTAGTTTAAGGACCCAGTACCTTTTTAGCTAGATTGTTAACACCACAAACATACGTATGCTTGTGGTCCAAGTGGCAGATAAATTTTAAATGGCTTGGTACATCAAAAATTTGAGATTCTAAAGTTCCTGTGAGGCAGACAATGCATTTATGTAATCAGAAATACACACGGAAGCACTGTGCACTAAGCTTTGGGGTACATTTAGTGCTAGGTGCAGGGTGCATGTACTTAAGCTACTAACAAAATATCGCAATAGAATTCAGGGCTGAAGGTGACTGAATTCCCTCAATGCCAAATCAAGCACAAGGAGACCAAGAAACTGTTTTCCGAGATTTGAAATAAGATGAACTTCAAGTGTGAAGCTAAAAAACCACACACAAACCTTAATTGGCCCCTTGATTTCAGTTTCTCATCAAGTCACAGGGTAAGAAAAGGTGACTAGCTCTAGAAATCACTTTCATAGCACTTGTTAACTCAAAACTTATTTAGATTATGCTCTCTCCCATTCAATTTCATAACTATCGAGAAACTAAGTTTAAAGACTGGTATAAAACAAAGCTACACAAAGATCTGCACAAGCAGCTTAAGCAACTACCAAATATGCACTCATAGCATAGCAAGTGAATACACCACACACAAAGTGACAAATATGTCCAAGTTCACCTTTCCACAAGTTCATTTCACATTCAGCTTTCTTGCACCTTATTAAAACATGAATGAAGCCACACAACTGCAGATCTTCAAGACTGGCTTATGTGACAACTGCTTGTCTCTCATGGGTAAGTTCCACGCTTTTATGCTGTGGCTTATTTTTCTGGAATGCAGTTTGGTAGATGCAAAGGGACAGATCGTATCTCAGACACTCAAGATGAGTGGGTGTCTTGAAACAGGAAACTTGAAAGTGGACTCTGAACCTACCTGTGCAATCACAGCAAATAGTACAAAATCCATCATCAATGCTCAGGCTGACATATTTTACAGTCACCAAGCCTTTATCAGTACATGCAGTACATATCAGTACATTAAGTACATCCCTTACATAAACTGCAGAGGTCAAATTCACAAAGCTTTGTGAAACAGAAAGTATGTAGTGTTCCCCCTAGTTAGCTACGCATAATTCTGTGATTGCTTGTGTGGCTTCTGACATCTAGCAACCCTCGGTCCGTATTGGCATCTCAACTAGGGACTTGCCAAAGGAAAGAAATGCAGATGAGATGTCATTCTCAGTAAAGAAATACTCTAGAGCAGTAAATTTCTTCATTTAATGTCACTCATCTTAGTTTTCTAGGTAACAAGTTCAGATTTTCTTTATCAAGATTTCCTTCAAACATAATGAAGTCTGGGAAACATAATCCCCACCTCAGAAACACCAGTTTTATTTGAGTTAGAGATTAACCATATGAAAAGTGACATGTAAGCCACAAATACCCAGGCTGGTTCACTTAGTACAACACCATCAGGTCCAGACAGTGCAAAACAAACATCCTGTTGTTTCTACACCTCCAGGGGAGCAGTGAAGGCTCAAGCATCTACAAACCAAGCTATCTCTGTGCAAACCAAGATGGCACAAGGAAGCGAATACTGAAGTAAGAGTTTGGTGCACAGGCACTTAAGTGAAATGTGTCTGCTTGGTTCAGATATTACCAAGTCAAGCTCATCAGCTCTGAAGTCACATTTCATCCTTAACTCGACCTCTACAACAAGGCGTGGCTTTATTATACCACCCAGCGGACTGCACTGCACTTGCTTTTTTTTCCTACTGACCATACTACGACAAATTCATTATGAATATTTATATACCAATATGAACTAAAATTCCTTTTGCTCGCCTCTCTCAGCTCATACTTCCTGTGGCCAATAAGCACGTTCTCCCTTCTGAACTGCACTAATAAAAACAGAGATACATGCACAGCATTTGGATATTACAAAGCACTGATTTAGTATAAGAATGACCCTTCCCTAAATAAAGTTTGTAGTTACTTCTACGTAGAATCTTCTTTCTTCCCCTAAATTCAATAGAAAACCAGCTATTTTATGTGTTAAAATTACTTTGTACCTTCTCAAGCTACCACCAGCCAGGTTTTATTAAAGAAGTAGCATGTAAAATTTTGAAGCAAGAGCCACTATTCAGCCAATACATCACGGGTATCAAAACTGAAGGATTTATTTTACTCATTAGCACAAAGCAGTACATCACTAAAAATGAGTTCTTCCTTATCCTAAATTTATGCATTTAAAACAACTTCTCTCATCTTTTTCAACATTCGTTTAATTAGGCAGACACATTTTTGTGAGAATAAGGCAGAAATGAATGCCTAATTCATACCATCAATTAATTGTTCCCAACTAGCTCTGGAAGACCAGAATAATTGTTCTGCAGCAGGTCTGCAGAACCACAGTAAAACACTAAACCCTTTATTTACTTAATTGAGGGGTGACTTGTTGATTCACACACACAAATCGGAGGAAAACACAAGGGCTGGGCCAGATGAATGCTAGAAGTCCATTCCAGCAAAAAATTAGTCGATGATACTATAAGAAGCTGTGCTTTTTTTCAACCTGTTACATCACTGCAATTTAAATATAAACATTAAATTATGCAATTAAAAAAACAAACAAACAAACAAACACATCTGAAAACTAAGCCAACCAAAACCCACGAAAACAAAACATTTGAACCTTTCTTTCATTACAGCAGCGACAATCAATGCCACCTTCCTGGCACAAACTTGTCATTGACCTATGCATCATCCAACCTCAGAATAAGACATACGAGACTGCTCGATATCAACATCCCAGACTCTGGTCCTGACACTCTTGAGAAGTACAGCCTAAGGCAAACAACTCATCCTGTCAAAGATACCAAAGGGTGAAATCAAGACTAAAAGGCTTTAACTTCAGCATAATTCTGCAGATTCAGCATGTGCAATAAAGCAATTTGATGGATAGTCTTCGAAACACACAATCCCTGTTTAAAAACAGAAGTTCATCATTCAGAAAAACAAAACATGCAGGTTCTGTGACATTTATGTTGTTTTCTGTGCTTTATTAATACCGCTTTGTAGCATTTATCATGTTCTAAAAAGGGAGTAAAAGAACAGATTTTTAGGTCCCCACACACAGGTTGAGCAGATAGTGACTGAAAGTGGGACAAGAGTTATCAACATCACCTCGCAGCCTGTCAGATAAAGTTAGGACAGAAAACCAGCAGCCAAAACATTTTCACTGACCTGGAAGAAGACATCAACCTTTCCCCTTGAAAAGGTCATTCAAGAGTTGAAGTGGACTTGTAACAACAATTTAGAGATTTTCTGTAACTGATTAAAAAGGGTAACTTAAGCAGTACTGCTGCTATTAGCTCATTTAAGGAAGTACAAACCTCGAGGGGAAGGAAAGCCACATGCAGACAGTAAGCTGATTTCAGCTCACGGTGGCAAAACACTTCACGACTGACTGACACTATACCATCTTTTGTGTGAGAAAACAGCCTCCTCAAAATCTGGGTCAGCATGCATTTGGGTGTTGAGAAATTACATTTCTTCCATTTATTAACAGTGCTTTGTACTGTAGCAAAAAGAAGCTATACTTGGTTATATTTTCTCCCTCCCTACTTTAAACAGGATTAAGCAAAATTCAAATGTAATTAAGGAAGAAAAAACATCCTTTTACCCAATCTGTTCTCAAATTTATGGTTAAAGACTTAGTCAATTACAAATTGCAAATTAAAACACAGCGAAGTGATTATACCTTCCCATAAATTTCCAAGAGGCAGAATTAGTTCTTACCTGTAATCACAACCTTGTCAAGGTTCTAGTTCAGTGCTGAGAGAATTAGTTTACATTCCTGATGCCAAGAAGCACATAACAGAATGACTTGCAAAACCTTGAGATAACAGTACAGGACACAACATCTGCTTTATTTTGGTATTTCCTAGAAAGAAACAAAGAAAGCAGTTAGCTACTCCAGATGGCACACAACAGATTTGTACATGAATTTAAGAAAAAGCTGTATTCACCAAAAACAGAAGTGCACGAACTAAAGCTATGTCTGGATATCTAAAACCTTTCAATTTACTCCCTAAACAGCATATTAAACATAAATGCTAAGGAAAAAAAATATCCAATTTCCTTCACCAGCACAGGCTAGCACTTAAAAAGCCATCCAGCCTATTACCTGACATTCATGTCCCTAAACTGAGTTACAGAAGGAACAGCTTTTGCACGCCTGCTAAGAGAAGTGCTGTTCACCTGCTTAAGTGACAGAGTACTCACAGTGTTTGACGAAATTGAAATCCACCAAGTGTAGCACGTCTAATTTGTAAACTCTCTACTTTGCTTGCTTAGATGTAAAAATGCATGGGGGTTTTGCAACTGAAGTTTAGTGCCTTTCTTTTTAAGTACCAGAACTCCTCTGAAATAACAATCATCATACATCTTTAAATGTAGTTTCAATAAAATTGATCATAAATTCAGCTTCAAACGCAGAAGTATCAGGTAACTAACAATTCAGATGTACGTATCTCCACAAGCATCTAGACATCTAAATCCCATTATTTTCAGCAGGATGCAAATGCCCAAATTCCTTCATGGATCAGAGACTACACATTTAACCTTACAAACCACTGCATCTTACAAAAGTTACCATGACAGTACACTGGTAGAAGGAACTACCCCAGGAAGAATTCTGGATAGCAGCCAGCTTTGTCTGGGGCAGGAGGGAAATACAAGCCTTACTGTAACGCTGTGATTCTCGACTGATTACAGCACACTGAAAGCCCAGCCAGCACTGCCGGGCTGAAGGAGGCACAAAGGGGACACGCTGCAGGTTTGGACTTTAAGGCCAGGGACTGAAGAAGCGAGCTATGACAACATTTCATGACAATCTGCCTCTTCTGAATGGTAAACTTGTCTTTTTCAAGCATCACAAAGCACCAGTTTTGATTCTCATACAGAAGGGATACTCTGCTACTGCTTGAGGAAGAGCTGTAAGGGCTCAGTTTTATGTGCATGATGTCACGCTGCTGCAAGCCCTTGTGTTCTCCCCATCATTCTCTCTTAGGCACCACAACAGGATGGATGGTTCAATGAATCAAGCTAAGCCAGAAAAAGTCGATTCCTTTCTGTAGGTTTAGCTCTCTGAACTAGCTTGAAAATGCCTTTCAGGCAAGCGCCAGAAATGCAGAACCAGCAGCTGCTGCCAATTCAGATTTGCTCTGAGTATTCCGAAACTACATGTTAAGCAGCATCCGCTAAATCATTAATGGACTCTGAAGAACTGTTTTGAAATAACTAGACACCAAATGTCTTAAATCATTGTACCGGACCACATAGCAAAAGCTTTCCTCCAAAAAAGTTACCAAGTCCATCGGTAAAAAAAATAAAAAATTAAATTTTCTTCTACACCTGAGAACTTCAGGAAAAAAATAAGCCACAAAAAGCATGGATTCACAAAGTTGCAGGTAACAGCACAACTCCCTCTTTTGAAGTACATCAGCGCTTCTTAAGTGACCGGGGCACTAACGCAGAACACGACCCCAATACAACGCCTTTCAGCCAGCCTCCCCCAGCTCCAGAAGACGGCCCTAACCACGAGGCTACAGGGAAGGTGCATGAAGTGCTCCAGCCTCGCTTCTTCTGATGCAGCAGCCTCTGGAAGCGGCAGACTCACAAACACCGACACGAAGACAAGCATTATGCTTCCCAGAAGCAGAACTCTTGATCCCTCCCAAATTCTTCTACTCTAGAGGATGTGCAAATGTTCATCTGACAAGGGTGACTTCTAGCCCGGAGACTGGACACTTATATTAGGGTGGATTCAGAGAGAGACACTTGGAGCTATGAGCATCTTACCCCAATATGCTCCCATTCATACAAATTCTGTCCACCCAAATTCTCACAAGTGTGGAATAGGGGTATTCAGTGTTTCAGAGAAAACAAAAAAGAAAACTCAACAGATACCCCATTGCTGAACACTGCCCAGCAAGGGGACATGATTCCTGTTACTTCTGTGCAGCAGTGCCTCTTACCTCTCTAAGTAAGCCACAGGTTTTTATTCTGTATGGAGATAGTTCGGTTCCTGATGCAGCCTGGGGACAACAAGCTAATCAAGACCCCAAAAACTTGGGTGCAGAAAATGCTGATATAAGCAAATGAAGTGGTTTTACATAGGTAGACAACCATAAGCTACGTCACAAAAATAAAGTTGAATGCCTCCCATTAAAGATGTAAAAGAATTACAAAATGTATTAAGCATTTTATATGGGCTCCTTGAACATTTGGCATGTCTAAACAGTTATTTGAATAGGACCAAGTTTGTTACTAAGCTTCTATTTTTATTTTTTTGCTATTAAGATACTAGTACCATGTTCTAAAATTTTGGGTAGACCTGTGTGGTGCCAGGAGTTGGACTCGATGATCCTTATGGGTCCCTTTCAACTCAGGACATTCTGTGATTCTACCCTGCAGTAGCATAGTTTTTAATTGAGCATAACTAAAACATCCCTCGGCTAAAAGAATTTGAGTTTAACCATGCTTAACAGCATTTTCTTCAGATGCAGAAGACTACACAGCCAGAGCCATTGCAAATAAATCACTGCTAAAGAACTGAAACCAACAGTCAGCAATAACCACGTTAAAAAAACACACTAAGCAGGCAAGAATCTTGCCAAGTGTGAAGAACCCCACCACTGCGCTTTACAGAAGGGCAAGCAGCACATGCTAGTCTTTCTGATCATTAAATGCATCTTCAAACAGCCTTGATGGTAAAGCACTAACGAACTTCAAGCTGAATCCAAATGTTAAAGCAAGCAAAAAACATCCCACCGTCCAGTCCTTCGCAAGTTTTCAGATTCTGGTCAGTCAAGCACCAGAAATACATTTCTTACGCAGTTCCACAAACAGCTGCAGCTGGCTTTGTAAAGGACAACCAAATCATTGCCGCCTTAAAATCAACCAACCCCACTCCCTAAGCATCATGAAAAACAAAGTGAAATGCAATGTATCGTGTTTGACTTTATAACACCAAAATACTACCACTGCTGACATCATCCCTCCCAACTGCGGGTGATGCAGAAGTTAATAGAAGATTTTACAGAAGTAGAAGACACCAGATGGAGAAGGAAAAGCGCAATCCTGTGAGCTTACTGCAGGTCAGCCAGTATCCTGCAACTTCCCAACTGCGTGTTGTCAACCGATGGTAAAGCTAAGATAATATCCCCTTCCTCATGTAGACATTAAGCGACCTGATTTTACAGTAAAAAAGAGCACGTACCAAAGGAGTGCGGTAGCTGTGCAAGTACACGCAGTAGTTCTTCGTTAACCTACATATGGCAAAGCCCAAACATAAACGAGCAATTAATGTCTGTGTAACTACTTGAGGCAACGTACAGCTTCCACCCTACAGAGCAAGTTGTTCATCTTTTACAGGACAAGATGAATGACTTTTTCTCTGCAGTTGCTGAGTGATTCCTGGTTCTATACAACAATATCGTGAATCAAGCAAAACTGAGCTAAGCCATTCTTTGTGATTTTTTTCCACCCAAATGCTGAAGTTCCATCAAAACATTAATTAGTGCAACATCTAAAGAAAAGGGAATGAAGAAGAGTTTGAAATTAAGACCTGTAAGAAGCAAGTTAAGTGCTTTAGCCTTTTTCAAGCAGCTAAACTAGCATCCAGGTTTTGCTAAAAGTACAGCAGTACTTTTAGGTATAAAAGGTGTAAAATCGAGGGTTTCTTACGATGCTAAGTATCTTGCAGTAAATTTACTTGGGTTTCCGGTGAATATTTAGATCAGCAGTTTGAAGCTGACAGTGCAACGTCTAAATTGCAAGTTAATCAGTTGAACTATTCAAGCCTGAATTTCCAAGGGGAACAGGTGATTAGCATTGTATTTAGCAGCAGCACAAACCTCAGTAATACTAGGGGCTTGGCAGTCTGGTTCAGTTCATACTTTTAAGTATTACTTCATAAATGCTGGGCTTCGGTCACAGCACCAGAAACATGGCTTTTGATACATCTAGAAAACAGTTACAAAAGATGCTCTCAAGTTTTTTTCTGCAGACCTATCTTGCATACAGATTTGCCAGGCACATTTTGAATTCCTGAATTCAAGTCTGCAGCTGTCTTGGGTTAAGTTTTTGAACACAAAATTCACATGATGGCTATGTAGATGCCTTGGCAGCAGAGGCAGTTTGAGCAATATTTGCTATCAGCAGCTCGTTCCACATTAATCCCTGTTACTCAGCCACATAGATAGTTCTGCTGGTGTAAGTGAATGCCTGAAGCAGAGACTGTTCATCTAGTTGATGAGTAACTCAAACTCTGTTGAATTATACAAGCAGAAGATGAAGAAACACTGCAAGCCAGCCTTTCTAGAATTGTGAATACACGTATACAATCCATGCTCACCTACTGGGAGCTCACTAGCAAGCACTTCTATACTCCTATAATCCAAGAGTCCACTTGGTTTCAGCTACGATTAGGAGAACTCAAGCACAAAGATGAAATCATCTCAAACAGTTAAGCTGAAGATCTTTTCCAATGTCCAGTTTCAGGTATGTTTAAGGCAAAGGCAACCAAACACACTCCAGTAAAAATATCCAAGTATATCCAAGTATATTTGATTTTTCATCAGAACTAAGAAGGGAGATGATTTTCAAGAGTTAAAAATGTATTACACTTACATGCTAGTGTTCTTACAACACATCAAGACTACAAAGAAGAACTGTAAGTTGATTGTACATTGGAACATGTACTTTGAACTAATAGCTGTTATCATACACTACGTCCACAACGCCAGATAAATTCTCAACACGCATTATGCCATCCATGGCAGTTCAGGAGTAGCAGGTAGAAGTGTTCATATTCAGCTGGGACCTGAGTTCGGTTTTTAATTGCTAAGGCCAGACTCTGCCAGCATCCATCTTCCTGACAGGGATTTGAACTCAGCTCAGGCACACCAGTGACTTGCAGAGGCAACACCAGAATCCCGTTCACTGTTCGTGAAGTGCCCCTCTTTTGAACACATTCTTATGGCATATCCCCATGAGGTGAACTTATTATCATCTTGCTCGTTAATTTGATAAGCGGCAGTAGCTAATGAGTCAGTTTGAAGTTACCCATCCATTTGTTGCCTCTGTGAGCATCTGGCCTTCAAATCAACATCTGAAAAATATAGTCACTGCAGGTGGATTACTGAGGCTTTGTCAATATCCCTCTGCTTCAAGCGAGCAGAAATCACAACCTAAGCACTGTCAAACATTCTGAGAAAGAATTCACCACGCCTGTGCTTCATGATGTTATCAAATTACATATATTAAAAAGTTCCCTGGGCTGAAATGGCATGTCCCTTAGCCACGGCACATCCTTCAACAGCACCTCACTTAACACCGAAGCCAGATGTCTCGCCCTCTCTAGCTACTCCAGCAGTACGGAAAGAACATGCTGAGTTTGTCAGACCTTCCTGCAGCAGAAAAGCAAGGTGCTAGAAAACCGCAGCATTATTCACATTCAGAAGTAAACTTGGGAATAAAAACTTGCTCTGTCGATTATGAAATAGGAACGGCTTAGCCCTTTCTTGCTAAGCCATTCAAAAAAATAAATAAATCTTAAGACCATAAAGAACCCTTACAGAAGCAGTTCTCAGGAAAAACACGAGAAAGCAACAGATCGGTCAGTTCTGTAGCAAGCGTGTGCATTCAGATGAAGAACTCCCACTGCTACAGACTGCAAAATATCGTAGGATGAAGACATACAGAAGATGTGACATAATTGTCTTGTTTTATTGCTAGGATACAGAAGTTGACTGTGCTCCAACGTGCCCTAGCTGTGGATAGGGGCAGGAAGTCTGACAGTTTTCAGAGTGACACCACTGCAAGTCTCTCAGAAGAAATGCTCACAGAGTGGAAGAACAGCTTCTCGGCAGATGACTATCAGAAAGAATTAAGTCCTCTGCCACTTGGTAATGTGACTAAAAACGCCACAAATAGATCCATTTATAGGTTTATGCACAGAAGGACTTCAACGTAAAAAAAGGTCATTCAGCACCGTAACAGAATCACCAGACCTTTCAAATCAGTAACAGAGCACAAATATTAACACTTACTATGTTACAGCTCTTTCAATGCTTACTGCAAAGCAAACTTGGAAAGAGAGAATTCAAACACCTGCTATGTCAACTAACAGCCCGCACGCACACACACAAACTTGCAAAAGAACTAAAATCAAATACTTAAGTAATACAGGAACTGAAGCCTCCAAATAGGAATCACTCAGATACATCGTTATTTTTATACCTCAATTAGTTTTAGAACCTCGTTTTTTCCTTCATCTCTTCCATGCTGAGAAACTTTTCAAACCTATTAGCAAAGTTATTTCAGTAACAGTACTGTAATAGTGTGAAGAGACTCTGTGCTTAAAAAGACACCTTAAAAATTTTAAGTGTGTTCATTGGCCTCAAACTCTCCTTGCTAACACAGACTGACCACCTTCCTGACTCAGCCCAGTTCAACTGATCATTTCAAGTGAGGCACGTCATGTGCTTTTAGGAAGTCAGTTATAACCCAATGCTTAGGAGAAGCAGCTGGTTCTACACGGTATGTAATGATAGACTCCCATGCTGTAGCAGGGTCGATTAGAGTTGTAATCCCACGGTACGCACTATTCAATCCAGTGTGTTACAGAAAGTTACGCTTCAGACCACAGATGGCTTTTCAGATTAGGTACAAGAACACGGTACTGTCCCCTGCATTTTGATAGCATGCCCTACTTCTTCTATATGTTGAAGAAGCTTTCTAAGACAAAAATCTTAAGTCTAATCAAAAAATTACTGTCTCTAGGAACTGCAGAGTGAAGCAAATTTCCATTACCTTTGTTTCTGGCAGCAGTCTCCAATATCGTTGCCTGGACACATGGAATCTTTTTCAGGTATCTGCATTGAGGCTATCTGAACTGCTTCACTTGTCATCTAAACAGAGGAGTACTTGGCAAGCAGCAGTCATTTCGCAACTTGCAAGCTTAAATACTCGAATAGTTTTGTCCAATTAGTACTGCAACTTCAGTTTGACAACAGATCAGTTTGACTCACTTTTAATCAATACCGTTTAAAGTCTTTTGGTTTACACTGTATTTTAATGAAGAAGTTTCAAATGTATCTATCGAGGCAATGACTGTTTTAATTTTGCCACTACGCAAGTGTTATAATACATGTTGAAATATACCTGCAAAAATTCAAAGGGCAATTTTAGCGATAAGAATGTTAAAACTAACATGCAAAAAGACCATGCCAGTTCAGAAGAAATCAATAGTAGAGATGGGGCTCAAGGGCTTACAGGCAGTCGATGCAGTTATGAGAGGTCTACACAGACTTGACAGCAAAAAGGATTCCGGGAAGCAAGCATGTTAATAATTCAATGTTTATTTTATGCTATTCATCAGGTCAGACATCAGCTGCAGGCAGTTTTGCCTAACAGATTAAGACACCATCTCCAGTTCCACAAAGATTACTGCTCCTACACCACTGCTGGCTGCAAGACACTGCCTTGCTGGGAATGCCACCTTCACACCACAATGAGGAAGACAACACGTGCACTGTAGCAAGGGGGTAGACACCCTACGCTGCTATCCTGTTTATAGGGGCAACGTGCCAAGATAATTAAAATTATGTATCTAGATCTTCCAAGGCTTGCATCTCAGTCTTACCTCTTTAGGAAATGTCAAGCTTAAGCTGTACGTACGCTTATACTAGGTTTAACGAACTGGACTAAACTAGGTATCCATAAAATAAAAGAGGGGGGAAATAAGGAAATAAGACTATCCCTTTTGCGAGCCCTTAATAAGTATTCAGGCCTTTACAGAATGATAACTGGAAGAATTTGATGAATTTAACAGTTTAAAAAGCAAAGTAAACATTCAGCTTGGGGATTACACAGGTAATTCAGTAAAATCTACAACATAAAAAAAAAAAGAGAACCACAAAGGCGCAATGAATAAGAAATAGTTCTGTGAACAAAAGCCTGCTGACCTGAACCTTCAAACAAGTGCTGAATTCAGCAAAATAAGCGCCAGCTTCAGTAGTTCTGCCCAACTCACTGCCCCCACAAGACTGAAGGGCTGGCATTAGGCAACCAGCTGCCCACATTAGGCACTACTTGTACTTTACAGTTCCCAAAACATTTATGTCTTTCCAACTCCACATGAAGGTCTCCACCATCTGTTTTCCAGCTGGACACTGTGTGAGGAAGGGAATACAAGGCCACAATCTGCTATCTGTAAAGAATATCTGTCTCCATTCTTCTGAAACACCTTCTCAGTGCCGCAAATATGATGCTAGCCCAGTCAACAGTAGAGTCCACCAACACTCCCTGAAACTGGTCCCACCAGAGCGAACTCCACTGTCTGCAATGCATTTTATCTCCCCAAACCTAGATGCACTCTCCATTCTTCCCTTGGGGGCTTGGAATGATACGTTTTATTAAACATTTTATTAAACTGTGCACGGAAGCTGAAGGCGATGGCATCACCCTGCTGACTGATGTTAATGACTTCCTACACTTGATCAGAGCTCTCATTTGCAGGGAGATGACAACCGTACAGGTGCTTGAAGCTACAGGCTTTCCTGAAATACATGCTGCTACCATTCCTTCCAACTCCTGCCCTCTGATTCCACAGTTATTCCCTGATATTTTGAACTTGACCGAACATGGCATTCCAGCTATAATTGCACTAAAGAGAAATTCCAACTGAGCTCAGCGCAGGCCCTTCCACTAAACCAAAGATGGTTGCTTACATGCACACTTCAGTAAGGCATTCCATTTCTTATCATGCAAATTAGCGTATCTGTTTTAGAAGTATGAACACCTGGACTACCAAAAGCCAGCTTTGCATAGCAAACACCAGTTGCATGTACCAACTTGCTTAACTGTTTGAGTTAAAGAACGCAGACACAGCTTGCTTTTATGCACCTGATCATAACGAATGTCCACAAAATTATGTGGTATTTAATGCTTAATTATTCATAATATTCTGCAGGAGAAGTATAATATGCAAGAAAACTGACAAATGAGAAGTAGCTCCATTTCGCAAGCCTCGGTATTCATGCTTTTTGCCATCTGATCATGGATAATTTTGAAAGTCTTACCTTGAACGCAGTGCAAAAGTCAAATTTCTTCCAGATCTCTGTCCTTCTGATAAGGATTCACTTTAGAGACTCTTCCTTGTATACTAGGGGGTGAATAAACCGGAAGAGCCTCTGAATCTGAAAGCAGTAAGATGGAAGAATTGACCAATTTCTTTCCCGGGTAACGAATTATTCAATCAAATCCATAGCTCAAGAGCTGCTTAATAACAACTTCTTGAGGGGAACCAAGAAAACACATGAACCACTGGAAGTGGTTAAGTTAGTCAAGAAGTCCCTACTTGCAATCTTCTGCTGTATTACGTCATACATGAATGCCTTTTGTTTGGTAGAGGTAAAATGTAGCAGGAGATTTAAGTTAAACCATTAAATGGCGAGTATCTGCCAAAAAAAAAGATCACCATCATCTGCACCACCCTCAAATAGGTGTATGGAAAGTCATTTCTAAACCAGGAACACATTGTGAGAGTGCGAGAGCCTGCACATGCTTCACAGGTGCATGTTTAAGAGGAAAGAGGATGAAAAAGCCTGGACATTAACACAATCATTTACAAGAGTATATACAGATCCTGGACTCAAAAAAAAAGGACTAAAAGTTGGGGTTCAAACTTTATCTCAACTACAGAAACCATACCAAAGAATCCTGTCACTAGCTACTGTAGATATCTGTAAAAGCCGAAACAGAAAGACATGCGACTATTGACCAAAATTACCTTGCTAATAAGAAAGAAGCAAAGTTGCTTTCCTCACAAACTCATGAGCAAGGATATCACAGTTAAGCCCACCCTGCCTAGATATACCAGTATCCAATTTTGGTAGCTTGAGTATGGCCTTCCATTTTCAAGATGCCCATGCGTAGGATCTAGGAGTAGTTTCTTTCCAAAGGCCGGGCAAAGAAGGAACTGGGCCAGTCTCAGTCAAAGTCATGATTTGCTTTTTCAGCATCTTTCTTCCCCAAACCAACAACTTCAAACAAGAAGTGTTGTACATATTGCTTAGCTTTACTTCAAAGTTGAGAATAATGGGTGAAGGCAAGTGAACGACAAGACACATCAGTCACTACAAAGCTCTAGAACAACTTGTTCAACTTAACAAATATTCTTTATTTCATTCTTAGATGATGCTATTCAATGAATGTACCTTGCTTACTCAATGCTTACCAACTGACACAGATTTCAACTAATTCATGATTAATATCAGACATCGTCAACAGGAGTAGCTGATCTTGTCCAAGCTATTTTATTTAGCAGCAGTAGAAATACCTGCCACTTGCACAAGGAACCATGTTTCTAAATAAAAGAGAATATATCCCTTAGTTTGGCTACTTACATCTCAGATGTGAGTGGTTTTTCACAAAAAGATTTGGGTTGAAGGGGACCTAATAAGAGGTCCTCCAGTCAACTTCCTTCTCAAAGCACAGCCAGTGCTGAGCTCAGACCCTGCTGCTCAGGGATTTATCTTCTCAGGTCTTTAAAACCTCTACAGAGGCAAGCCCACAACCTCTCTGCTGTGGGATCTCCTGTAACCTCTTAACAGTCACCCTCACCAGAAAAACTTCTCAGCATACACCCTCCCATCCCAGTTTATGACCCAATCTCTTGCTTTCCCACTGTGCATCTCAGTAAAGAGACTGGCTCCATCCGCTTGGGATCCATCTCTGTAGATACCAGAAGTTTGTTATCACCCCAGAGGCCCAAAACTGGGCATGATATTAAAGATGCAGTCTGGGAACACGTGGAACAAATGCCAATTAAAGGGGAATAAAGCTGTTGGTTATAACCCCTGCCTGACTTGTACTTAGTCCACTGTTTGCCAGAAGCAGCTCCTTGTCAGTAGAGAAGCAACGCAGACAGCCTCCAGCACCACAGGAGGGTTTCTGTCCCTAGAAGCAGGATTTGGCACATATCCTTGCTGTATTTCATAGATTCCTACAGGCCTGCTCATCTTCCTGAGTACCTCTGGATGGCCACCCTGCCTCTGAGGCACCTTGTTCCGTGTCTGCCACAAACCTGTTGAGGGCACATCCCATCTCCTCCTCCAGGTCACTGGCAAAGCTGTGAAACTGAGTAGGTCACAGCAAACCCCGAGGAACTGCTTGTAACTGGTGTCCAGGCAGAGCACAAATGATCAACTGATACCCTTGGAGCCTGACTCTTCAGCTAGTTCTTCACTTGTCTTCTCATCCTCCCATCCAGCCTATAAATAGGAGTACGCTGTGGGGCACTGTGTAAAAAAAGCCTTGCAACAGTCAAAGTGACATGCACTGCTCGCCCCTCAACCAGGGATCCAGTCACTTCATCACAGAAGGCAGGCAGCTGGTCAAGAACATTTTACCCTCAGTAAATCCACTCTGGCTCCTTCCAGCCCCTATTTTCAAGGGCCCAGAAACGTTTTGCTACAGGCTGATATAAACTACTACTTGACAATGCTACCCAAGCAAAGCACTAAATGTTTTTAGTACATAAAAAAAAGTTTTCTTATGTAACATAGCAAGGATGCTTGAAACAGTGAACAAGAAAAAATTGAAGTCTCCAAGCTTCAATGATTTGCAGAATTCAGATGTTCCAAAGCCTAAATATAAGGATTCAGTGCATAAAAATAAGCTGGTCTCAACATGCTGAACACAGCCATCAAGCCACAGAGTTTCTGATTAATTTTCAAGGTGTCTAGCAACAGGGCAGTAACAACAGAGGATATAAAAAGGAAAACCTGGTATCACTAACTCCACTGAAAACTCGTAACAGACTGGTAGCAGAGAAAGGGAAGAACAAAAGGAGTTGAAATGAATAGCAAGTGGTCAAGAAAACCTATGTGTTTCACTATGGACATCCAAAAAAAAAAAAGCATCTCAAGTTGGGATTGCTTACATCTTTTCAGATGACTTGACTTCCTCTCATACCGTACTGAAAGCTAATCCTTCCTAATGAGACCTCTGAACCTGAACAAATTCAAGAACTCCTGAACACAATGAACTGCAAACCATAGTTGATACCTAGTTGATAGCGAAAACACGACCCACGTTTCACACAACAGTCTCTCTTAAGTTCCCCAAAACTGGTGTTCAAAGCAGGGAGCAGATAAGCAGCTCTAGCTCCACATTACGCAGCGAACAATACCAACAGTGGATGAGCAGAGGCAATTCTCTTATCCCCCAAGGAAATCTGCAAACATGACAGAAGACAAAGAAAAACCTCTTGGCTCCCTCAGGAACTTTCTGACAAACTCCTCACCGTGACCTTTGCTATGTAAAGCTTTGCTTTCTGCTGTATTCTCATGTACCTACAGAATAAAGATCTTCTTGTCAGCAAGTGTTGATATTTAATTAAACTGGAATGACCACTGTGAAGGGAGTCAGATCATCACCCGTAGCAGCCTATGCATTTGGGGAAAATCCAAGAGAGAGGGCATTCATAACTTAGCCATCATAGAGGTTTTAACATCAATATTTAATTGCATGTTCTTTTACTTTAGTTTAACAGTACAGCTGGTGACACTGCTAACACTGTCAGTTCACATGATTTCCAGTATTGTCTTCTCTTTACATTTTTCTCATTTAAATAAAATTTAGTATCTCTGATCATGTAACCTGACATTGTTTCTATCCTGACTCATTTATTAGAGGAAGTTCAGAGCCATGTGACAAAACCCCAGCTACCTGCAAAGAAAGCATCAGCAGTAGCATTCCAAGTAAATTTATGACTTCCACTGGCAAGTCAGTCATCGGGTATCCAAACCATGAGCCCTAACAACCTGTGTCAGTAAGTATGTCTTAAGAGAAACTCCTTGGAAACATCTCAAGGCTTAGTCTTGCAACAATCTGCCTAAGCTGAACTGATAGTGCTATAAACCCACCTCAGAGAGCTCTCTTTTTCTGCACTGTATTAGCACTAAAAAGCAGTAAAAAAAAAAAAAAAAAAAAAATCAATCTAAGGACTGTTATCTAAGAAGAATAGCAGATGCTCACCAGCTAGGCAGCACATAACAAAATGCTGTTTGGGCTGAGAATGAACTCCCAACTAAGAAGAGACAAAAACAAAGCTAGATTGTGTACATTAAGCAAGGCAGCTTCCAAGATGTTACATCCATTGTTTTTAAACAGCTGCAAAAAAGTGACAACAGGGCCTGGCTGACAAAGGAAGCGGATGTGTCTAGTGCCCAGCGCTGCCACCGAGGTAGCATTAGACTTGCAGACTAGAAGAAATTCCGAAAGAAAAAAGCAGCTTTGACCCAATTATATGCTAGCTGCTGCTTCAGCTGTGCTGGGTTTTCTTCTGTCCTGTCCATTAGGGTTTGAAGGCACTGCACTTCGGCAGTGAAACCAAACAATCCTGATTGCTTTTCCCTTCTCAATGGAAAAATGACACGAGATCATTTTAGCCCAGCCTAATTTTCCATCTCTTCTCTGAACACGGTAGCCAGATCCAAGTATGTTCTTTCTGCCTCCTAAAGACCTTTGAGGAATCTTTGCTTCCTCAGACCGAGAGCACAGCAGTTCCATGGCACCTTAAATCTATACCAAGAACACACCATGCATTGAGCTTTCCTCTATCTGTAGGACTTGGAAGTTTGTAGTTTGCTGTGTTTTTGCTGTTGATGTTTTTTGTTTGGTTTTTAATAAATACCATTTGGGGGAGAAAGCTTTCTACAAAGTGCAGGGAAAAAAAAAAACAACAAACAACTATAGACTGAAGCTTCTTCCCCTTCCCCAGTCCTGTCTCAGGAAGGAACACAACAGGAGAAAGCGAACTCAAACGATGTCGACAAAAATCAGGAGAGAGAATGACAACTGAAGGCAAAGCAGCACAGAGGTCAGTGGGCAACTTGTGTTTGCTTATTTTTACCCCCGGCAGTATCAAGTTGTGGTACCTCCATCCACAAGGCCAACCATCCCGGTAGGATTGGGGCAGCCAGAGCTTGGTAATAAAAGGCTGCTGATAAAAAGCTCTCACATGATGAGCTGAAACTATCAGAATGCTCAGCCCAGCACTAAGGTAATAAGGAAGAATACTTGGCTGAACTCTGCCTCTGCAGATAGTCCATGGACTCGCCTATTTCTCAACACATTTATTATCTCGGTTCTTTAGAAAGTATTTTGGTTTTCTAATGCATTAAGTAAGAGT